GTTACACGATACAAATACAAATTCCAATAGCAGTAACTAATGTTGCGTATATTAAAAAGAATAAGAAGTGATAGAAAATTTGGATAATCTAATGTTTGCATCTGTGGTGTTCTAGGGAAAACACTCTCTTATTATTTTTGTTGACAGTGCGGATTTAAAATTACAATATTGATCATCCAACTTTTATTTCCAAAAATTATAGTTATGTATTATTATTATTATTTTTACATTTAATAAGTATAAAAAAATTGCACTAGTAATTTCAACTGATCTGCACATCGTAATGAAGCAATTTTTCATTATAATGCATAATAAAACAATAAATACATAAAAAGTCATGCAGGAGGATCGGTTACGATTTTGAATCTTTGAAATTTTGTTCATTTAGTGTCCAGAGATTCAAAATATATAAGAGTTTTTTTTCGGCATCGGGGACCAACGTTTTCTTCGTTAAAGATAGGTGTGACAGGTGAGAAAAAGAAATTGTCACCATCTGGTGGCGTAACTGTGGAACTATAATGATGATCTACATGTATATTGAAATTTCTCATGTCAAACTCATGTTTGGACATTCCATCAGTATTCAGTTCTAACAGGATTCCTCCATGCACATCCAACGAATTTAAAAAGGCTCTTACCTCCTGCAAGCCTAAAGCTTCGCCAGGATTGGACGGTATTTCTGGGGATATGATACGCGGACTTGGGCCGATAGCCCTTGAATTTCTGCTGGTTCTGTTCAACTGTATGTTCCAGTTGTCTTCCTTTCCGGACTCATGGTTGAATACAAGAGTCATTCCAATTCCCAAACCCGGTGGAAAGGGTTTCCGATCTATTGCCCTCACTTCAGTCTTTTCCAAACTATTTTAGAAACTTGTGCAGGGCAGATTGGAACATGAAGTGGAGTCTAGGAGACTTCTTCCTATACACCAGTATGGTTTTCGAAAGCAGAGATTAGCTATGGACTGCGTGGCTGCTTTTTCCACCGAAGTTCTGAATGGTTTTGCGGCTTCTCGTCATACTTTTGCCATCTCAATTGACATAAAGGGTGCTTTTAACAATGTTCGGCCAGACATTTTCAACAAAACACTTGTAAGACTTGGCTTCCACCCCAATATTATAGACTTTGTTACCTTTATCACTTCCAAGAGATTTATATCCTTTGACGCAGATGGATCTAACTTTAGGACTTGTGGCGTTCCGCAGGGGTGATGTTATCCCCCATTCTCTTCAATCTCTACCTCCGAGAAATAGAACTCATCTTTCCTCGTTAGATGAAATTTGTTATGTATGCCGACGACTTTCTTTTGTATGTCACATCCCGCTTCAATATCGGAGGACGTTTCGCTTGCTCTAAGCCGCTTGTTCATCTGGCTCAGAGGTCTTGGTCTGGATATTGCCCCGGCCAAGACCACGTGCTGCATTTTTTCCAGATCTAGAAAGTGCTTCAACGACATCCATTTGGTGATAGGGGACTCGATCATCTCCTGAGATTCTTCAATGAAGCATTTGGGTGTATTATTGGACAAGAAGCTTTCGTGGCTTCCTCACATTAAGATGATTGCGGATAAGGCAACCAGGGCAATCAACATTTTAAGGATAATCTCTAGAGCCTTTTGGGGATCTTCCTCTGAGTTAGCTTTGCTTGTCTACCGCAATCTTATTCGCGCCATTCTTGATTGGGGTTCCCTTCTGTTTGCTGATTCGGCCAAGACCACTCTCAAAATCCTTGACAGAGTCCAATCGGCAGCTCTGAGAACGTCTTTGGGATGTCTCAAGTCAACCCCCATCTCGGTACTCCTGTCTGAGGCTGGTGAGCCTCCTTTGTCTTTTCGCAGAATCTATCTCTCAAACTCATTTATTCTTCGTTTAACCCTGTCATACTTGGACTGGACCTCGAAAGATTGTCACTACTAAATGCTTATGCTCGCACTTACCTTATTGTTGAACTTTCTTATAAGACGGAGCTCCCTGCTTACTTCGATTGGAGGTGGGAAATTCTTTCCACAGCACCATCCTCGGACATCAGTTCAGGCTCTGAAATGCAATATCATGCTACTCCTGAGACTTGCTTCAGAGACTTGATTGCCAGGAAGTACCCGAATTTTGCCATAATATACACTGACGCTTCCTTCTTTTCTGATTCTGGACTGGCTTTGGCTGCTTTCTATGATGAATCAACGGAGTTCTCGTATGGAATTCCCCTCCAGCCATTCTCATCCATCTTGGTTGCTAAGGCTTTCGCCATTTACAGAGCTATCCTCCATGCCAGGGCTCTTAATCTCCCACGCACTCTTATAGTCACGGATTCTCTGGAGGTGATTACTCGACTCAACAATTGCCTCCTCCGTAAAGACAACCCGGAAATTATTTATAGGATCCTGGACTTGATCTATCGCCTCCCTTCTGACCTTCCCTCTTCTTTCAGTTTCCTCTGGGTTCCATCTCACGCGGGAATTGTTGGTAATGAAAAAGCGGATGCCATATGTAAGGCTTCTAACACACTTACCAACAGAGTCTATTTTGGATCATCTTTGAGCGATTTCAGAAAAAGTGTCTTTGTCCTTGATCACTGTGCGAGGATGGCTCATTTATGGCCCTTCTCGGATCGTGAGCTAACTGGACATCGATACTTTGAAAGAATATCGCTCAAGACCAGTGGACCTTGGTTTGAGGGTCTCTCTCTTCCCAGGGCCTGGATCAACGTAGTCACCAGACTCAGATCTGGTCATACTTTTACTGCGGATCACTTTGAACGCATCCATTGGAATGCCAGGATGCAGTGTGCTTGCGGGGTTGATCAGAGAACTTATAACCATGTGTTGAACGAATGTCCTTCCCTGGCACCGGCCAGGGATAAATTCTTTGATTTCCTCAGGAGAAAGTTTCCCAATGAGGATCCGGAGGTGGTTTTCCTCGATGATTTGATTTTTGCCCCTAACGAGGAGATTGTCAGAGAGATTGGTGGATGCTTTTGTTATGACCATCAATTCATCTGACCTCTGATTCTGGATCTTTTCAAATTTGTCTGTTGGCTTGCTAAGAGTTTAATTTTCTTTGTTTTTGTTTTAACTCGGTGCTTTTATTCGATTTGTCTTTTTTCTTTTCTTTTCTCTTTTTTTTTTTTAATTTTACACGTTAAATTTATGCGACAAAAGTCGAGTGCGAGCTGCCTGCTCATGAAGGGACTTTGGAATTAATATGATCTACTAATCTTTGACTTCTTCTATGTTATTTTGTTGTTCTGACAGTTGGCCAAGCCTCAAGTCATTTAAGAAAAAGAAGAAGATTTCCTATGTTCAAATTCATGTGAAATCATATGTAAGAATTCACATGAAATCCCATATGGATTCCTACATTTAAACTTGTATGTAAGATATTATATAAGGAAATCTTTAAAATTTTATGTGATATTTTTTATAAAATTTGATGTAAGTTAATTATAAAGGAAATTGACAACAACAATATGCCAGAAAAATTATAGGAAATAATGTAGGAATTCACATAGATTTCAATATAGAAACAACATCATAAATTCCTATATGAAATCATACACCAAATCGTGTCCGAATTTAATATATGATTTTACATGGAATTCTATGTGGATTTCTATGTAGCTCTAGGATTTTATAACGATTTTTATAAATGAAACTATATAGAAACATATATAGGAGATAGATGTGGGGAGACAGATGGTTTTCTGATGGTTATATTTGAGGGATGTGAAAAAAATAGTGGCTATGTTTGATTACACGCTGCATGTAAATCCACACGTTTAACGTGTGCACAAAATTTCCCACGTCGGACGTTGTAAAATAACACTTCATTATAACATTCAAAGTAACAAGTTTTAACCGAATAGGATGGATTTTAAGAATTTCCGTCCGCCATTTTGGATTTGCCATTTTGAAATTTAAAAAATTGACATCATATTCGTTGTCAGCGAGCCCAAAAACTCATAAGTAACAAGTTTTAATCGAATCCAATGAATTTTAAGAATTTTCGTCCGCCACATTGAATCGGCCATTTTGAATTTTACAAATTTATAGTTTTCACCTATGGTATGCCCGGTTGGTGAGAAACGTCCCATATTTGTCTAATAAAATTGATTAAAAAATTTCGAATTGACATAAGAGCTTTCTGATACTATAATAAATAACAGAAATACATTTTTTAAAACTCTACAGAAAAAATGAAAAAAAAACAAAAAGATAGTTCATTATAACTATTTGTTTAAACGATATGTTGAAATAATTTATACGTGTTATAGTTGACTGTTAAGTTTAACAAAACAAACAATTGTAAATATCTAAAAAAATAATTTGAATAAAATAAACCAAAAAAAATAATAGTAAAAAAAGGCTAATAACATGTTTGTTTAAAAAATTTGTTTAAACAATAAAAAATTAATTGTTCTTAATTTATTTTATGGGCAAAAGCAAGTATAAAAAATTTGTAATTAATTCTATTTAAAAAAATTGTACTTTAATAAATAGCCTAACTTTATATTTGTTTATAAAATTGTTATAAACAATAGTGGTTAAGTTGTAAAAAACTTTGCATTGTGAAAAAAACTTGTTCCATTTACTGATTCTTCTAAACAAAAAATTTTTTGTGTAAAAAAATATTACTAAAATGAAAATATGACTTCTCATTACTAATTTATTTATAACAAATAAACAAATTAATCATTTTTCAATTTTTTTTTGTTGCGTTTTGTTTCTGATGACTTTGCACTTCTGTTTCAACAAGATTTAGCAAAATCTAATTTCTTTTAAAAAATTGATAGCAAAAATAATTACAATTTTTTTTTTCATTTTTGTTGTTAAATAAAAAATTTTGCAATAACTTTTTTCAAAATATCTCTCGTTGGAATGAAGAGAAATTTTATAAGCTTTTACTGAAAAAAAGGAAAGTTAAGTCGGTACACCAGTTTAGTGAAATTGTTGAATTTTTACTAACTGTAAATATATGAATAATGAAAAAAATTTTAAATTTAATACCTGCCATAGTAATTGCTGTATTTTCCATGTCGACTGCATCATCCAAAACTGATTTGTTGGCTGCTTTACAGACTTTTAAATGCTTGTTAATTCGACTTTGGGCTTTATGATCTCGCAAAGCTAAAAGATTCTGAAAAATATCCACATACAACATGTTAAGTCATAAAATATTTTATTAATTTTGAACAATCCGAAATGTCAGATATCTCTGAAGAAGAGATGGAATCAATTTCAAATACTTGTACTATAATTGTTATTTTTAATCAGGGATTTCTTTACGTTTCTTAAAATTGGTGTTTCTTTCATAAAAGTCGTGTTAGCTGCAGTGTTATCTAATGTGAAATCTTGAATATTGTCTTACAAATACTTTACATTCCTAAGAGGAAGACGGTGTCGCGTTTATAAAATGTTAACATATAAAAGGCGCGCGCACAGTAACAAAGAGTTAAACGCCAATTTAGTCAAAATTAAGTTTTTAGTAGACATATTGTTTTTCAGACCTAGTATAAAGTTGACTGAATCGCAATTAACGCTATGTTACAGCGTACCCTTCATATTTTAGTAAGCATTTTTGATAGTACACTTATTACTCTTACCTTTTTCTTCAATGCTTCTTCTACTGCTTTACGTTTTTCTTCTTCTTCTTTTTTCGCAAGAAATAGTTTTATGTTATTCGATAGTATTTGAGTTTGCCGATTTTCTTTTTTAGGAGGTGTGAATTTTGTTGGATAATAGGAGACAGACTGAAATTAAAAAAAAATTATTTAAGATATTTTGAATGTAAAGTGTTAACAAAACAAAAAAACGAGTTTAACCTTTAAACTGCATCATGGAAAAAAATCACGCTTAGTGCTTTTAGCGGTCTGCCAGACCGCTATTTATTTTTTTTGTGTTTTTCTAATGATTTTAAATTATGTAATGACAACTGTTGTCCCCAAAAAAAGTGTTTTAAGTTTCCCCAAACTCTGTGGTGGACACGAAGTATTATAAGGAGCACTCACTCTATTGGCCGTTTCGGAAAATTCTGCTCACGTGTTTTTCCGATTCAATTAATGAAGTGTCCCATAACGATCTGCTATGCTTGAATGTTTGTTTACACTGTATTCAGCAGCAGTATTTAGTACGGGCCGGTTTTGAAATTTAATTTTGATTAGTTTAAATAATTAGAAGTTGTAACTTCCTTAATAAAAATCAATTAAAATTTACCCCAAATTAACTGAGGGTGAATGCCGGAAACGGCTATTTCACACGTTTTTATACTTCTGTTAATCGTGGACTTGGTGATCTTGAACAATCGTGAGTGCAATATGTAAAAAATTTTTAATTTAAAAGTAATAATGAGGTGTTTTGTGAAAGGGTGTACCTCACCAGGCTACGGAAAGAAAAGCTGTAAAGAAAATGTTGAAAAAAGGCATTCATTTTCACCTGCTACCGTAAGTGCATATTTGTCAAAATATAACCTCAAAATATGAAAATAATAGTTACGTTGTCGCACAAAGTATTATATAAATAATTTGCTTAGATTGTAAATGTTTCAATTAAATATATTCAAATGTTTTATTTATTATAGGAGGAAATATTACGCGATTGGCAAAAAGCAGTTCCTGGAGGAGAGAAATTAAAGAAGCAACACAGAATCTGTGAATTTCATTTTGAAAAAGATGACATCATAACAGAGTTTGTTACAAAAATGCCTGATCAAGAAAATTGACATTATTAATAACAGCCGTTGAGAATGATTTGTTATCGGTCATCAAGGAAAATAAACTGAACGCAGATTTAATGTTTGAAGGGACAAAAAAATTGGAAAGCAGTAAATTACCTACAGTGGGATGTTCTCAACATTGTTTGCAATTATCACATAGAATTCTCAGTTTCTATTTGACGACACGAATGTACTTCGTTGCGAAACAATCAACGAAAAATAACATTGAACGCAACCAAGTTAAAGAAAAAAGGAAAGCTGTGAAATTAGTTGATGAGAGCATTTTATCTCAAGAACCTCAGGTTGCATTAAAAACAACAAGGAAAAGAAAAACAAATTAACGATTCGCAGTTTTTAAAATGTAAATGAAGGGTAGAATGACAAAAGGGGTCAAGCGCCAATTCACTGTTTTTACAGGAAGTAAAAAAAACATTTTTAAAAATTTTGCAGGTCATTTAAAAAAAAACTGAGGAAACAGTTTCGATATATTAGTATGTTTTAATAAATAAACAACAATTTGTTGAAATAAACCTACATATTAACGATAAAATTAAAAAAAAACTGTGGTTCCTTGAGGTTATATCAAGTGCGCACATTTTCTTTAAGCATTAATTATAAAAAAATATACAGTTTAAAGAAAAACTGGAAAATTAGTTTCTTTCTATGGAATCGACGAAATGAATAGAAAAAAAAATTCCTTTAAAAAATTGTTTGTTTTCAAGAAAATTACGAATTAATTGCTTGCTTTGGAATTGAGCAATACTTTCATCTTTAAATTCAATTGTTCACTTAGTATAACCATAAAAATATTTAAAAATTAATAACAAAATGATTTTAAAATTGTTTAAAATTGAAAATACATTATTATTATTATTAATTTTATTAATTAAAATATTATTAAAATAAAATTAAAATAAAATATTAAAATAAAACCTAAAAAAATAATATTTTTTTTTATTTTGATAATATTATTGACTCACCACTTTCTTTTGTTTTTCAATCAGGTTGCAATAAAGTAAATTTGAGGCTATTTTATTAATTTAATTTTTATTAAAAACTGATTTAAATACGCAATAAAAAAGGAAATCCTGCTACTGAAATGTGTAAATGAATTTTCTTGATTTTTTTATGCAAAAACCTCATTTTCGATAAATTGGCGCTTGACCCCTTTTGTCATTCTACCCTTCAAATATTTTTAAATAGAAATGTTGTCTAAAATGTGTGGTGAAACAAAAACTCAAATAAATGAACGATTTACTTAAAAAGAAAATTTTGTTTATTGCAAAATTTGTACTATAGACAAAAAAAATGCATTTTCGTAATGATTTACTCAGAAAATTCTTTTGGATGAATTTTTTTTGGCTCAATAAAATTATTGTTGAAAATATTTACTAGAATTTCTGCCAAAAAAATTCTGATAACTCGTTTTAATAAAATTTGCATTTAATTTTAATTTTAATTTTTTATTAGAACATGAAATGTGCCTGCAGACTCTCAAAAAAACTTTTAAAAATTTAATTTTTATGTAACTACTAATAAATATAACTGTATTTATGATTGTCTATTAATTTTTGTTTTATTTACTCTTTCCCATATCATAGAAAATGCAATTTCCAATAGTTTTTTAAATTCATTTGCTTTCTTTTTATATTTTCGTATTTATGCTCCTTCTAAATTTCCAGAATATTTAACGATTACATTTAACAAATCTTGAATTTTTAATTTTCTTAAATATCCCCTCACAATATGCCAAGAATCTTTAATTTTAATATTTAACAGAAATTCAAATCCAATATTCAGCCAACCTCTGTGACTGACCTTTATTATATGCGCGGACATTTAAACATCAACTCAACCTCGTTTGGACCTCGCGACTCAAGTTCCTGAACCTCGTCAAGCGAGGATCAGTCAAGGTTCAGGGAAGTTTCGGTGCTGTCCGGGGGCTTATTAGGAATTTCCTATTATAAATTTTCGTAAGGGTATTTATGTATTATTTTTTGAGATTTTTTAAAAAGTATTTGAAGGACTAAAATATTCAAATACCTAGTCCCTAAAAAACCATTAACTAAAAATTTTTCATTAAATTATTAATTTGGACAAAAACATTAATTTTAATTAATTAAAATTATTATTATTATTATTATTATTATTATTGATAACCAAAATGTTTTAAAAACCATGAATTTTAAAAATTAAAAGATGTTTAGCCATTAAGGTCAAGTAACATCTTTTAATTATTATTATTATCTCCACATTTCGATAGTAGCCAATATATTTTTCAAGATATTAGTTTCAAGTCTAAAAATAATATAAAAAGTCGTAAAGAATCGTAGAATTAATTAAAGTACGTATGTACACGTATGAAAGCAAGTTTCGTAGGATCTTAGGTTAGAAAATAAAAATTTTACATAAAAAGAAGCAAAAAATGTTTTCATTTAGGTTACATAAATTTAAAATAAAAATGAATAGAAATAATATGTGGAATGACATAAAAATAGAGCCATAAGTGTTACGATAAGATAATAAAGAACATATATAGTTTATTGCTCCAACAGGTTATACTTTTTAACATCTTGTATAATTACGTCACCAAACAATAAATTATAATATATTTTCAATATAATTCCACAAGTTGTAAATATTATTATAAAATATCGTGACATCCATAATATATCACAGAGCAGAGTTTTAAAAATGAAATGTTACATTAAAATGAAAAGAAAATTAGGATAATAAAAAAAGAATACTTTCTCTATCAAAAATATTTACCTGTTTATTGTTTTCATTTTTTTTAGCAGCAGATAAAAGAGCTCCAAAGTCCATTACAGATCTATACGCACATGGATAATTATATCACAATAAATTAAATATGATGTCTGTTCATTCGATTTAACATATCAATTCAATTGAAAAAAATAAAATTTCTATAACAATTTAACAATCATTCAGGATCGTTGAACCTACTGTAGACAATATTGACAGCTGATGACAAACCAGTAGGGCAATTCGTGGGGGGGGGAGTTATTTTAGTAGATTTGGTGAGAGGAAATCTACATACCATTGAGTATGCGTAATGTGAACAAGCAGAGATGGGAATATCGTTTATGTTGGGTAATTTACATGGTGTTTTACAGTAATTTACGTCAAAAATTTTATACAGTAATTTACGTGTATCAAACCTAACCTTAATCTCAACCACCCTGTCGCATAAGGGCAACGCACAGTTTTCACGAAAGTTGTTCGCGAACAGGAATCAGAGTTAGAAAAGGATACAATTACAAATATATCTCTGTCCTTTTTTAAGTTATGATTCATGTTCTCCCACGGTGGGTCTGAACCAAGTTCAACCCAAAGGTCGAAGCACTTCAAATTTTCTAATAAATTTCTATTCTATTGTGTCTTCTGAGTAATTTAAGACAAAAAAAATCACGCATTTTTAAGAAAATAGAGTTTTTGTATTTTTTTTTTTAATGCTAAAATCACTGCTACTCATCAATAACTTCAACCCGAAAGTCTGAGCTCTTCGAATTTTCTTGTAAATTTAATTACGATATTATTTCCTTGAGTAATTCAAAAACAAAAGAAAAGCACACACATGATCTGTGTGATCCTGTCTTTCAGTTTCACCTTGAATTTATTTTTTTATTTCTTATCGAATTTGGGAGTGGAATGAATCGAATTTAAAAAAATGACCATTATAACTGCCACCCTCTATAAGACTCAATTAATTATTCTCTTTAAAATTCTGTAGTGAAATTGTTAAAAATTACTTTTTTCATTTTTATAGTGAAATATACGAAGCTGAAGTACGCAACGTTTATATAAACGATTTTTAAAGAAATAATTTTTTAAAATGAAAAATTCTATAATTTTTTGCCTAAAAAATATTTTTTTATAATTTGTTGATTAATGAAAACTACAAGAAATATTTTTTAGGCAAAAAATTATAGAATTTTTCATTTTAAAAAATTATTTCTTTAAAAATCGTTTATATAAACGTTGCGTACTTCAGCTTCGTGTGAAATATGTGATTTCAGGTTTCTAAAGAATTTTTTTTTTAAATTGTTACCCCTAAACAACAGTTAATAATTACCACTGTATATCTTTTAGAAGTTGAGAGAAAAATTCTTTTTAAATTAAATGTACCTACGAGGAGCCAATTTTTGAAAGTCTACCATTGCGGAACACCATTAAACAATTTTTGTTGAGTTTTATTTTTTAAATAATTTGTTATTTATTGCAGTTCGTGTCAATAAAAGTTATAAAATTAAAAAAAAACATAATTTTCCAGATATTTTTAACAACAGTTTTACAATATAACAACAATATATTGTTTAAACAAATTGCAAAGGATCTAAAAAATTAATATTTGTTTAAGTTGCAAATAAAAAATCTTGCAAAAAATACTATAAATAAAAGTATTAATAAACATTTTTTAACCATTTTTCCCTGATTTTACATTTTTTGGGGCTCTTTAAAATATAGTTATTATTAAAAAATTCATAAATAAATTATTGGATCTTATTCCTTCAACATTTCTCAAGAAAAATATATAGAGTAGTCCGATAAAAAAATATTCACTTTCCATCATTTCATAGTGAATCTACCAAAAAACGTTTTTTTCCTATGCAAAATACATGTAAAAATTCAAGTACTTTTAGGCACTATTAAATATTATTAAAAAAAAAAATGAAAAAAATACGTATCTCTTATTTTATTTCATGCTTAACAAAATGAGGGTTTACGAATTTTATAATTCAAAAATTTGGTTTTGGAATATATATATATATATAATTATATATATATATGAGGCATTCTATGGGAAATTTTCATTGAAAATTTTTTTTTGTCCGAAACATTTTTTTCGAAATCTATATGAAAAATAAGAAAATACGTATTTTTTTATTTTTTTATTTGATGAAAATGACGGAAGTTATGATTTTTTGAAATTTAACGTCAACGAAGAAAGTGTGTTTTTGGAACATTTTTTAATCTATTGTACTAAGAAATTAAAAATTATGCTATATATGAAATTCGTTCATTTTTTCTCAAATTTTTCAAATATGTACTCAAAAATAACGTACCCATAACAGAAGCAACAAAAAAGTTGAAATTAAACTTATAAAGTGAGTTTTCTCAAAAGAGACACTTTCGATTTTTAATTTTTTTTTTTTTTTGCATTACAATCTCTGATGATTGAAGAATTTTTTCCCCTATCTGCGAAAGTGGTATTTTTAGTTTTTAAATTACTATTTACAATTTTTAAGCTTGACGCAACGATTTTTAGTATGTTTTTATGAAAATTAAAAAAAAAACAAATGAATGTTAATGGAAAAAGGTTATATTTGTTGAAAAAATGCTTAAATTCTGTGAGCCGTACTAAAAAAATTATAAATAATAATTTAAAAACTAAAAATACCACTTTCGCAGATAGGAGAAAAAATTCTTCAATCATCAGAGATTGTAATGCAACAAAAAAAAATTAAAAATCGAAAGTGTCTCTTTTGAGAAAACTCACTTTATAAGTTTAATTTCAACTTTTATGTTGCTTCTGTTATGGGTACGTTATTTTTGAGCACATATTTGAAAAATTTGAGAAAAAATGATCAAATTTCATATATAGCATAATTTTTAATTTATTAGTACAATAGATTAAAAAATGTTCCAAAAACACACTTTCTTCGTTGACGTTAAATTTCAAAAAATCATAACTTCCTTCATTTTCATCAAATAAAAAAATAAAAAAATACGTATTTCCTTATTTTTCATATAGATTTCGAAAAAAATGTTTCGGACAAAAAAAAATTTTCAATGAAAATTTCCCATAGAAGCCCCATATATATATATATATATATATATATATATATATATATATATATATATATATAATATAGTATACTATAATATAGTAAGGTTCATGCAATTTATTTTTTGAAAAAAAGCTTTAAAAAGTATTCAGATTCACATTATGACATTTATTATAATAGGAGAAATATGTACAGACATATAAAATCTAGAAAAAAGTATCCAAAGTGTTTAACATAAATTGGAGAATATTACCAATATTGCAAACATGATTATTTTTAATTAAGGCACTAAATATTTCAGAATAACAAATTATAAACATACTAAGGGCCTTGTCAATTTTTAATTAATCTACATCAATAAATTTTGTTACAAAAAAAAAATTATAATTGCTTTAAATTAATTCATACACGCAATATATGGAATTTCTATGCACTTATATATTTATGATGATTATGTTTCCAAAATACTACCTCCTTTTAAGATTAAAATATTGAAATACATTATACATGCATTTTATTTTATATTCATTGCAAAAATTCAATGCTATAATTTTATTAGTTAATAAAAGAGATTATTAATTAAATTTACAATTAATGGATTTTCTTTGTTAAAAAGAATTTATCGTTATTATTAACAAGTTTAACAAAATTTAAGAAAAGTATTGCTAGCAATTGACAATCCTCTTCATAGATTATGTATTTCTTATTTTTCCAGGCACATAATTCTTGTCGATAATTAATTCTTGTAGAAACATATGAAGACATCTTTCATTCTGTGCTAAGGGGTGTCCTGCTATTCTATAAATAAAAAAACAATTGTTACAAAATATTATTAGATGTCGATAATCTGGAAATTTATTTATGTGACCGTTTGGTTACATAAACATTTAATCTAAATAAAAGTTGGATTAATTAGAAATTAAATTTCCTTTTAGGTTTTCAATTTCGCAGATTCATCACTATTGAAAGCGAAATGAAACATAATTTATTTCCTAAATAGCTATGCAATATTGTTTGTATATTTACAACACTTAGTTTAAAATATCATTCTTTTTAATAAAACTTACTTGTTTACAAACATTTCTAAACCTTTCCTACGGTCTTCAATAAAATCTTCTTCAAAAATACCATCGTCTCCACGGAAGGGCATTTGTCGCTTCCAAGCCTTCCCAGGCAATGGAGGAACAACAATCTTGTTAAAAAAAAATCTTATATTAATTTAAAAAATATGTTTTAAGGTAAAATAGTATATAAACTCCATGTAAATAAATTTTACGTGGAATAATATTGTAGATTTAGATATTCTCAAAGTATGGTATAAGGAGTACTCACTGTTGTTAAGTCTATAGCCCCATTTTAGGAGAATTAATTGATCGGAAATTGCATATCACCGATTATGACGCCTCTAGCGGAGAAGCGGAGTACTTAGGACTTTCAAAATTAACTTTATTATTTTTTAAAAATATTTTCATCAATATCCAATAAATGTACAAGTACAAGTACAAGTTTCAACATATTTTTTTGTATGACTTTTACAAAGGAATAAAAATTATTGTATGTAATATTGAACATTTTTACTACAATGTACAATGTAACCTGTAATTTCTCGCTTTTCCACTAGGGTTGTTAGTATCGGCGATATGTAAATGTTTTTATTAAATTCAGAAATGCTGGGTCAGGAATTTTCGAAACGGCCTATAGAGTGAGTGCTCCTTATACTACTTCATGGTTGTAGTTAAGGGGGCAATCCACGTTTGAGGTTTGAAAAAATTTATTTTTCTGTTTTTCGATCTTTCTCATCTAGATGTTATTTGAAATGTGTCCCATGAAAGAATTTGAGCTTTTTAGTTAATGAGTATAATTGAACCCCCAACATTATTGTGTGCTCGGTCCTTCCACGCGCCTTTGCCGTAGGTAGGTAGCGCTACAATTTTTTTCGGTAAATTATTAAATTATTATGCAATGCTTTTTCTAAGTGGCGAACGGGAAACATCTTCTTAATGAGGAAGATGAACTCCACAGCCATGGCATAGCCGATAGTCGTAAGTTTCTCGAATCATGTATGTTTAAGCGCGTTTTCCAAAAACTCGTTTTTTTCAAATATTTTGGTAAGATAAAATCAGGGTTTATTTTTTTTTTTATTCAAACAATTAAAATAGACAAAGTCTTATCAGAAAATTGGTCGCAGCATTATTTCAGGCGCGCGGTCAAGGACGCTTCAAGGTTGCGTGTGTTAATATTATTTTTAATTCAAGAAATATTTTAAAAGATTAAGTGTGTTACAATAAAAGGCAAAAAAAAACGTTTTTTATTATCATTTGTAAGCGACTCGCAAATTCTTTCTTAAAAGAAGGCTTAAAATTACGGCCCGAACGTGGACTGCTCCCTTAACAACTTTATTTTTCTAAGAATAGTACTTCGTACGTAAGGGCATATTTTATAATTTAAATGATTTAAATAAAAATTTTAAGGATTTAAATTGTGATTTAAATTATTTTTAAATCGTAATTTAAATTATTCAAGCTCTGTTGCGAAGTGATAAATAAACTTACTTTACTATCTCGTTCTAATTCATTTCTAAGCCATTCAAAATCACTATATCTTCTTCGCACACTAGAATCTTTAACTTTGAAAACGGGAAGATTTGTCTGAAACATAAATTAAAGCACAAATATTAAAAATCTATGCAGTATACGCTCAGCAACATATACCCCGTATATAAAAGAACAAACATAAGTTTTGAGTTAAAAAACATAGAGATGAAATCTTGTTAAACTTGTTACTTGTGAGTTTTTGCGGTCTCTCATTCCGAACTTCATCTCAAATTTAAAAATTTTTAAAATGATGATTTCAATCGAAAATATTTCAAAATTTAGTAAATTTGCTTGGATTTTTTAGGCTGCTGAATGCAAAGGACCCCGCACTTTTTACATTGAAAATGGCTTTCCTTATGCCAAAATTCAATCCTATGAGTAGTTTTTTAGCTACAGCACTTCAAAGTTAAAAAATAATGTATTTATGAATGTTTTCTTTTTCACAAATGCATCAAAATCTGTTAATCGGGGGTTTTCGGGGTCGCTGAGTACGAATCTGTGCTCAGAATTTCGGAATTCAAAATGGCGGACACGCTTTCGAAAAATCACTTGAATTTACTTCAAAATCATTACTCGGGAGTTTTTGGGGTCGCTGAGTACGACAGGAAAAAAGAATTGAAGTAATAAACGAATAAAAATTTGTCAAACCTAATCTAACACAATAGGAAATTCTGAGCACAGATTCGTACTCAGCGACCTTGAAAACCCCCGATTAACAGATTTTGAGGTGAATTCAAGTTATTTTTCGAAAGCGCGTCCGCCATATTGGATCCGCCATTTTGTATTCCGAAATTCTGAGCACAGATTCGTACTCAGCGACCCCGAAAACCCCCGATTAACAGATTTTGAGCGATTTTGATTCATTTGTGAAAAAGAAAACATTCATAAATACATTAATTTTTAACTTTGAAGTGCTGTAGCTAAAAAACTACTCATAGGATTGAATTTTGGCATAAGGATTTTTTGTTCAGAAAGCCTTAACCTTCGCTTGACAAGATGCCCACCCAGGGTGGGCCAGACAAATTGAAATTGCCATATCTTCTAAAGTTTTGCCTTATTTGAATTGCAATTTTAAGTCACTGAACAAAATCTTAAGAACTTTCAAAAAATGTAAAAACAAATTTTTAAAAAAAATTTCTTCTTGATTATTTATAACTTTTATTAATGTATGTACGGAGATAACCGGGATGATTCAGATATTTTTTTAATTCTATTTTATAAAAAGGCTTGAAATCATGCAGACTTTTCACTGTGAGTGTTTTATGATGTCAAATAATAGATATAAAAAATATTATATTGCATTTTTCATTTGTTTAAACAATTTATTGTTATTATTTATTAACTTTCTTTGTTCTGCACCTAGAAAGATGCAGTTTTTTTCTAATTTTGCAATTTATCAAGCGGAATATAATAAAAGATAGATTTGATGTAAAATTATTAATTCAACAATTGTTTAAACAATTATTGTTATTATTTACTAACTTTTTTTGTTCTGCACCTAGAAAGATGCAGTTTTTTTCTAATTTTGCAATTTATCAAACGGAATATAATAAAAGATAGATTTGATGTAAAATTATTAATTCAACAATTGTTTAAACAATTTATTGTTGTTATTTACTAACTTTTTTTGTACGGCACCTGGAAAGTTGCCGTTTTTTTCTAATTTTGCAACTCATCAAGCCGAATATAATAAAAGATAGATTTGATGTAAAATTGTAAATTCAACAATTGTTTAAACAATTGTTAAATTAGTAAATTTATGTCAAATCTGTCAAATTGCAAAATTAGGAAAAAACTGCATCTTTCTAGGTACACTACAAGAAAGTTAATGAATAACAACAATAAATTGTTTAAACAATCGTTTGAATACTAAATTCATATAAAATCTTCATGTTTATTATGTTGAGCTTGTTAAGTTGCAAAATTAGAAAAAAATTCCAACTTTCTTGGAACATTATAAAGAAAGTAAATAAATAGCAACAATTATTTGTTTAAACAATTTATAATAATAGTTGTTGCAAATTGAATTATATATTTTATTTTATTTATAACCTTTGAATTAATAATTACGAAGAAAAGGTAACAAATTTATAAAATTCTTCTACTGTCGTATGTATATTTGAAAAAGTTATAAATTATTAATAATAAATTGTTTAAACAAATAAAAAATCAACAAAACATTAATAAAATATATTATTTGGTAACATATAACAATTTTGGAAAAAAACTGAATGATTCTAAGTTTTTATTGCAATATACAAAGAAGAAAACATTTGGCCCACCCTGGGTGGGATCTTGTCAACCGTGTATATAAAAAGTATCCAGTCCGGCGAAGGTTAAACTACAAAACTACAGAGTTTCAAAAGATTTGTCTGAAAGCCATTTTCAATCTAAAAAGTGCGGGGTCCTTTGATGTAAATTTTAAAAAATTTTAATCATGGTTATAATATGACAGTATTTTTTTAAAGTTTCAGGGTTTTTAAGGTTTTCAGAGTCGCTGATTACGAATTTGACGTTAAAATTGTAATTATAGTTTCCTCGAAAATCCCCAAATGATGAATTTTAGACGAATTCAATAAATTAAAAAATAAATCCTCAAAATTAGATATGCCATTTTGAATTTTAAAAAATTGATATTAAATTCATTATAATCAGTGGCATTAATTTTTTTGTGAATTGTTTTTGCCGTGAAGAATATTTTTTTTTTATAAGAATTTAACTTGTTAATTATTTTTTGTTCTTTTTCTGCAAAAATTATACATCTTTCTATATTAAAAATCAATTAGGAAAAAATTTTTGTTTAATTATTACACATTGATATCATACGAAGTTGAAGTTCTCTTGCAATGAATAATATTGATAAGAATTACGGGGCGTTCCATATATTGTGATATGAACTTTCTGCTTTTTTTAATATACAGTCAAAATCATACCTTTAAAAAAATATTAATTAAACTTTTACATTATTATTTATTTATTAAAAGTACTATTAGAAAGTTTGAAACAAAAAAGAATAAAAATTTACTTTTTTTTTCATTAAAAAATTTTAATTTTAACATCCTAGTTTAAAATAAAAAAATTTTTAATAAAAAAAAAATTAATTTTTTAAAAGAAATAATTTTTTGAAAATGTTGCATTTATACAATAATAAATAATATTGTCACAAAACGTCAATTGGTCTTATCGATAAAAATATCAGTGATAAATCTTAAAAAAAAAAATTTTTTTACATAACGTCAGTTAAGATGTTAAAAGTTCATAAAATTAAAAAATCTTTTTTTTTTCGCCACACTTAATGATTTTACCAATAACTAAAATTAGCCTTAAACAATCTTTTCTTTTTTAATGAAACTGTCATAAAGACATCTTTATATACACTGAAAGGAACCCTTTTGAAGTTTATTTTTATTTATTATACAAGCACTACGTCTAAAGATAACTTAATATTGTCGCACTAATTTAAATTTAATTATAATAAAGCCTTTAACAGATCAGAAAGTTGAAATGATTTTTTTTTCGAAAGAAATGTCATTGACTGTATAAAGAAAAAATTCTTTTATTACAAATCTATTCGAATTGATACAATTATTAAACATTAATATGAAATTAATTTCGAGGGATTAATAATAATTTTCGTGACAAAGAACAAAGTAAAAGAAAGAAAGAAAGAAAGAAAGAAAACTTGACATTAAAATGAAACATATTCCTTACCCTCATTCGAACTTCATAGTCAGTGTACCGTTTTTTGCCGACACCATGAGTTATAGGATTAATTACATCTATTTCCAAAAAATTAGCTGGTGCAGCATAGGCATCATCCAACGTTTGCTTTTTTACATTTAATCGTCGTGTTGCATCAACAGTTGTGTCTGCCATTGTCAATAAAATAAAACCATCCGCCTTTTTCGTGAAGCAATATAAATAACAAGATTGAACTCTCTAATTTGAAACTGTCTTGAACTGTTGGACGAAGAGTGCCAAGTACATTTTAATATATGACAAACTGAAGAATATGGTTGCGGACATGCGTGAAGGGTGAAGGCCTAAGCACAATAAATTCGCGAAAGTCCTTTGCAAACGTGATTTATAAGATAGAAAAGAAAAGAGATTTATTTGTTGTTTTTTTTTTTCTATATTTCATGTTTGCACATTCCTTAATGAAATCTTATTCTGTGCTTCTTTCACACTGCGATGGCACTCCCCTTGCAGTTAGAAAGGGTGACTATTGATTTAGTTCTAGGAAAAAATTCTAGATGTCACCGCAGTAGATTTCATGTTTTAGAATTTTATAACCGGTTTTCGGTTATTAAAATAACCGGTTATGTATACCCGGTTAACCGATTACAGTGAAATAACCGGTTATTTGGTTAAAGTCGAATGTTTGGTAATAATCGAAACGACCGGATGATTGTATCATATGTAAAGAATATAAAAAGTGAATTAAACATATTATTTTTAAACTAAAATATTAATTTACTAGCAACACACACGCGCGATGGGGACCATTATATGTAAAGCTGAGCCCAGAGGGCAGCACCATAGCAAGATCGTGGAGCGCCAAATTTTTGATTTCGGTTAAAATGACATTTGATTTTCTTCTTGTTTTGATAAAATAAAAACATGAGTAACGAGATAAATAAATATTTTTCTTGGTCGTGTGTACAATTGAAAAACGAATTACGTAAGCGAGGACTTCGTCTTACAGGAAAAAAGAAAGTTTTACAAGAAAGGTATGTATAAAATAAAATAATACATCTAAGAAAATGTGTAAATATATGCAAGTGTAATCATAAATAGAAATCTTTCTCACATAAAGTTTCAATAAATTGTGTTTAATTTGTCTTAAAATATTAATATTGTTGTTTAAATACATTTAAAAGTATTATAAAAACTCCGAGTCTTGTAAAAACAAAATAAAAAAATTGAGGTTATGTTGTCTAATGAAATAAAAACAATTACTTATTTGCATATTGAATATTAGAAATATTGTAATTATATTGTAATTTTTAAATGATTAATAAGTAAATTTTGTTTGTTTTTTATATTTTTCACAATATAGTAATGATTGAAAAAGAATAAAATCAAATTAAATAAATATTTCATAAAATACAAATAAAATTTGAATATATACGACAAACATATTACTGTCCATTAAAAAGTAAGTAAGTAAATAAGTAAGTAAGTAAGTAAGTAAATAAGTAAGTAAGTAAGTAACTAACTAATTACAACGCTGTCTGAAAATTGACGATAATGACTGGCAATAACAGACAACAGCTGACCGTATCAGTTTGTCTCCTAAAATCTTTAAACAGTTACCCACACTTTATTATAACCACAATTTCTTATTAAATGATTTTATTCGTCTTTTAAGTGAACAAAAACATTTTATAATATGTTTATTAAATATCATGGAATAAACTCGATTTGAAATTTAGCGCTCTACGATCTTGCAGTGATGCTGCCCTCTGCTGGCCAAGTTTGGCCGTGAGGATCCCCATATCTCATTGGTCAACTTTCTTGTATAAAAATTTTCAAATCATTATGATAATGTAATTTTATAATTCAAAATAATGATAAAATTCAAAATAAAAAAAAATGGCAATTTTTATCATTTTGCAATTTTGACAACTTTAATTTACCCAATCGCTAAATTTGACCCCGAATTCATAATCAGTGAGCAAAAACACGTTTAGGAAAGCTGTACCGACATTAATTGAACTATTTATTTGCGCTCTACACCGCAAACAGAAAAAAAAATGACAATTTTTACCGTTTTTTGCAATTTTGACAGATGTAAACTGCCAAATTGTAAATTTTGACCCTAAATTCATAATCATCGAGAAAAAATACGTCTAGAATGACTATGGAAAAAATTTTTTCAGTGCGTCACTTTATACACCGTTTTAAAAAGAGCTTCTTTGCACACACTTTTCGTCGGTGTGTAAAATTTAACTTTAGAGGTTAGTGTTGCAAAAAATATTTTTGAGAAGTTTTCAAGATTTTGATTTAAGGTTAGAAAAAGATTGATGGAGAATTAAGGCCTAAGCACAATAGAACGTAACCGGAATCGTAATCGCAATCGCAAACGGAAAAATTAGTAAAGGCCTGAGCAGATTAGAAACGTAACCGAAATCGCAATCGTAAACGCACCCGAAAGAATGAGTTAGAGAAGGATAGACATATTGTTTGTCCTTCTTTAACTCATTCTACCGGTTGCGTTTACGATTACGATTTCGGTTGCGTTTCTATTCTGCTTTGGCCTTAACTGAACTAACAAAGTTAAAGGACAAAGGACTCTTAAATAACCGATTATTTTCAAAAAATATATAACAAAAGCCGATTAAACTTTTGTAACTAAATAACTGGTTATATTAAAAGTCCGTTCTTTCAAAAAACAATAGATTATTCACGAGAAACCAGTTATTTTCAAATAATCGAATACTTCCATATAACCGGTTATTCTAAAATAACTGAAAAACGGTTAACCGTTTGGAGATGGTTTTGAGATGGTGTTTGGATGTGAGTGGGAAAGTTGAAAGATGAATGAATGATTTAGAAAAGTTGAGAAAGATTGGTTTCCATTGTCCCAACTTGCTATTTGTCATAATTCTCGTCAACTAGCGCACCCTGCTCTAGTAAAAATTTAGTGACTTTATAGTAACTTTTAATTTTAACTATAAAATCACTAAATTTTCACTAGAGCAGGGTGCGGTAGTTGACCAGAATTATAACAAATGGCAAATGGGGACAATGGAAACAAACCGAAAGGAAAGAATGGAAGGGATATAGTAATAAGAACCGGCACTGGCAGATAAAATAGACTAGTTAGTTTTAAGATGCGCATAGATTTAAGGTTTTTATTGTGTAAATAGTTTGTAAGATTAATGTAATTGGGTCCTGGAACCCCGCGTACAGTAGGGAGAGTATATAAATTATATATTAGGGTGGTCCGAAATTTAAAATGGCCGTTCTAATGTGGCGGGTCATTAGTTTTCTGAAATTCAAAATGGCGGTTATAATTTATTTAAATTTATCAGATTTGACTAAATTTCGAGACTTAGGGATTTTTAGAATCGCTGATTAATCAGTCTTTTTGAATTTTACCCCCGAGTAACAATTTTCAAGCAAAACGGATAAATTTAAAAAAAAGTCCGACATATTAGATACGCCATTTTAAATTTAGGAAAACAAATGACAGATTCGTAATCAACGACCCCAAAAACCCTTGTAATACTAAGTTTCATGAAAATTCGGTTAATTGGCTTTGCTGGGCATTTTTGGTCATACATGCTGTATTTTCCTCAAGCAGTGAAGGAGTTAAACAATAATAAACAATAAAAATTTTATGAACAATTTTTTTGAATGTCATTCTTTGAACCTTTGAGAAGAGTAACAAAAATATCCCTTCAAAATATATTGTTTTTTAACGGTTTTATAGCAAATTTATAAAAAAGGGTTTTTTCCCATTTAAAGTACATGGAAAAATTCAAGGGCTATAAGACACCATTAAATATTTATTCAAATCAAAATAAAAAATACGCATCACCTTTTTTTCCATTTAGAACAAAATTTTGGCCAGGAATGATAAAAATTCGAAAATTTTGAAAATAAGAACCACCCTAGTTATTGGGAACGGTGGTCTAGTAACAATCTAGTAACTTTGACCCATTCTCTCCCTCCATTTTGTTTTTTCTACTCTTTCTAACCTATTAATTGAAGAGAGACAAAGAAAGAAAATGGAGGGAGAGAATGGGTCCCCACCAGATGGCGTATTGCAGTTTAGCCGATCCCAATATACGCAACATTTTGGACGTTCCACTATATAGTCGTATAATGAGCAAAATGACCGCAGCGCCAATAATTTATGTGAATTAACTCTCAGCATGTTACTATCCCGCTATATAGAATATGAGTGTGTATATCCATAATTCTTTCTTCCATCACAATCGTGTTCGTGGCACAATTTCGTTTGACACGTATATGTCAACATAATACAGATGTCAAATTAAATGATTTTCACGTATATTATTTTGATTTTTTGAGTGTTTCTGTTCTACAGCTCGATAAAAAAGGTAAAGTAACAATTATTATTAAACTACTGTAATAGAGGTAAGTTTTTGTAATATAAATATTGCTTTCAATAAATATAACCTCAAAATTTCTATATGCTTAATTTATTATACTTTTTCTTTACTCATTAAGCGAAAATATAATGTAATTAAAAATTAAAATAGGCTTGACATTTTTGTTAAGTCTTTTTTTAAAATTCTTTTGCTTTATTTATTGTACTTGATGCAATCTTTTCTTTATAAACAAATACTAATTTTTATCAAAAATTGAAAATTGTCAATCTGGCTTATAAATTTTAATTATATTTAAGTAGTTATTTCTAGATATTTTATTCATGTAGTTATGCAATTTATTTATTACATGAAATTTAAATATATAAATTGCAAAACACTTTTAACTTCTATCTTAATTTGATTAATTCTATAGTTATTTCATTGATCATTAATTGATAAATTAAAAGATAAACAAAATTCTGAAATATTATTTTTGTTCTTTTTTTTGAAAAATTTCTTCTTTGTATGTAAAGATTTTATTAGTGAAATTTTAACCTATCGAAATTTTTATGTTGAAAATTGACACTTTTTTCTGTTATCGATAAATATAAATATAGGGTAAGTGTCCCATTCACCGAGCCTGGATTAACGAGATTCTATTTATTTTCATGTTTTTAAAAATAATTATGATATTAATTAGTAAATATATACCTAATATAATATTTTTAATACAATTACATATAATAATCGTGAATATATTTCGTTCATTCTGTCCACACCTGAAGTTAGTATTTGTTATAGGTCTTTTGTTTTTTTTTAAATGTGTTGTTTGACATTATTTTGTGTTGGTTAAAAATTTTCAATGTTTTGACATTGTCATTTGTGCAGTCGTATTTTAATTATTAAAAATTATAAAATTGTTAGAATCGTGCAAAAAAATTGTGAGGATTGTGAGAAAAATTGATTCGATTGCTGTTAGAGTAAGCTGCATAAGTTGATAATTTTATCAAATTTCAAAAATTTATTTAATTACATCACAATAATTTAATTAATTTTAAAAATAATAAAAAAAATTTTATATTATATTTATTATTTATATTATATATTACAAATTAAATTTTTTTTCACAAAATATTTATTTATTTTTGTTATAATTAAAAAAATTTATATTATATATACATATAAATTTTTAATTTTGACTAAATATTAATTTTTTTTAATAATTTTTATTTTTAAATATTAACTTAATATAAAATTTTTTAAAATAATTTTTATTTAAAATAAAATTTAAATTATTATATTTTGTATATATTTATATATGTTACATTAATTAATTAATTAGGAATATTGATGAATAATATACATATATTAAATTTAAATAATTTATAAATTATTTATTTATTAATTTAAATTTATTAATAATAATAATTATTAATTATTATTATATAATAATAAAAAATAAAAAATTTCATTTAATAACAAATATTTTTATTATTTTTTGGTTATAATTTTTTTTTGAAAAATATTTTTTTTATTATAGGCAATTAAAAATTTATATATTTCATATAATAGATTAATAATAATAATTATTATTTATTATTATATAATAAAAAATAAAAAATTTTATTTAATGATATATATTTTGATGATAAGAAATTTTTACAAGACCTTTACCGATATATTAAAAATTATCAATTTAAATTTTAAATCGAACATTTTCTTGAATAATTTCTGAAAAATTATCGACAGATAATCAAAAAAAAATCAAGAAATATTTTTTTTTATTTGATAAAAATTAAGGAATTATTATTAACAATGTAATAATATTAGAATAAATTAAAAATATTATTGATAATATTAATTTTAATTTCTTTATAATAAACAATGAAATTCCTAATTTCGCGCGCTTGCGCGCGTTTAATTTTGCTAGTATTTGATTATCTGTTGACTAAATTAACTCTATGCAAATATGTATATGTTTTTTTCTTTTATTTTTATTCTAAATTTTAAAAAAATTACGCTTGAAAATAGAATATTTTTACTAAAAAGAACAAATTTTAAAATTAAATTATATTATTTATTATTTCCAGAGAGCGCACAGTGGTGCAAATCTGCAATTTACTATTCAAAACAGGCTACAGCTTTTATTTATTGACAGATTTTCAAACTTTTTTTTTTAATTACTCAGGATAAAATTATTAACAACTCTGTCTTCGTGTATTTTTTATTTAATTTGTTAATAATTAAATATTTAAACAAACTTATAAAAAACAAAATTACCAAAAACCATGAAAAATATAAAAAATTGTTACTTAAATTTAATTGTTGTAAATTTTTAAAAGTTATAAACAAATGAATATATAATTACAAAATACAAAAATAATTAATAAAAATTCAATTAAATAAATTTTTAATTACTACTACAGCTAATATATACATATTATATATGATTATTCATTAGTTTATAATAGTTTAAACAATTTTTTGTTGTTTTGTTTATTATATTAATTAACCGTTTGCAGCATTCATTTTCAAAAAAGATTGATTAAAACGACAAACCTTCTAATGGGGGTTTTTGGGGTCGCTGATTACGAATCTGAAATCCGTTTTTAAAAATTCAAAATGGCTTACGAATTTTTAAAAATTAATTGGATGCATTTGAAACTCGTTACCCGAGGGTTTTCATGATGATTTTGTAGCCTTGAAAAAGGCTGATTGTTATAGTTGCTGATTATAAATATCAAGTTTCCGTTTTTAGGTGTGAGAAGCATCGAAACTGCTGGCAATAGGCAAAGTGGAACATTGCAAGTTTTTCAAATCCAGGACGTTCGCTTTTGGTCAGCTTTTGTACTACAATGACCACAGTCTCTGAAACAATTTTTCCTTACAGAAAATGTTAGACTCTAAAATAAAAAATTTTTTATAAAAGCTGTTTCACAAAACAAAATACCAATGATAGAGAAGTCAAACTCTAAAACAATATTTCTTTACAGAAAATGTTACACAAAACAAAGGACGAACGTAAAACAAGTTAAACTGTAAAATAATAATTTTTTATAAAAATTGTTTCAAAAAACAAAATACCAATGCGAATCAAGTCAACCACTGAAACAATACTTCTTTACAGAAAGTGATATACGGAACCTCCATAAAGTTGGCGTCGACGCTCAGCGCCAAAAATTGTTTTTCACAGAACCAATAGTGTCAAATTATTTATTTTCAATTCAAATAATGTCTTGAAAAATACTTTTCAAGGTATTATGTGTTCCCAAAATGTTTTTAAAATTGATTTGATATTTTTGGTCCCGTGAAAAATAAATTTCGACTCTGAGCGTCGACGCCAACCTCATGGAGGTTATACGGAACAAAAGACGATCGCAAGATATCATTCATTATTTCTTTATGAAAACCGATAAACGATATACAAAACGAATGCAAAGCAAGTCTAGCTGTAAATCAGTTTTTTTAATAAAAATTTTAGACTAAACAAATCCTAAAAAACCCGAGAACATGTTGTAAGTGAATCCGTTAAATTTTTTAAATTCAATGTCCGCCATACTGGATCTGCCAATATGAATTTTAGAACACTAACATCAGATTCGTAATCAACGACCCCAAAAACCCCCGAGTAACGAGTTTCAAACGAATACAATTAATTTTTAAAAATCTGTTAGCCATATTGGATCCGCCATTTTTAATTTTCGAAAACGGATTTCAGATTCGAAATCAGCGACCCCGAAAACCTCAAAGCAAATGCAAATTAAAAAGTTGGCCTACACACTCAATTATTGAGCGTGTGATATATCTTAGATTCATTAAGTAAATAATTATTTACTACTATTTATTAAATCTAATAAATGATTTTTTAAACTTGGATAACAATTAATTAATTTTTTTCATTCAAATATTTGGTGTTTTAATATAAATGAAAATTATTTGATACAATTTTATTTTATCGGTTCAACTTGAAATAAAGTAAATTATTCACTAATACGAATAATTTATTATTTAATGTTAATACCCACATTTAACTTCTAAAATTTTTTACGGCGTCGAATCTTAAATTATCGAACTTCTATTTAGAAAAATTGTATAAAGTGAATTTTATATTATGCAAAATTTTCATATCGAAGAATTTACGTTTAACTAAAATTCGATTTAAAAAAATTTCTATTTAGCAGAACTCTTATAAAGCATTTTTTCTAATACTTTTTAAAAATTTTAAATTAATATAATTTCAATTTGACGAAATTTATGTCTAGAAAAATTGCCAAAAAGAACTAAGTAGAGTTTTTCTTAAATGAAAATTCTGTTAAATAAAAATTAGTTCGAATTAAAAGTTTCTTTAATAAAAACTTTGTTAATTAAGAAATTTGTTTAATGGAAATTCTGTTAATTGTGGATTTATTCAATGACAATTCTGTTAAGTAAATATTTTGATAAATCGAATTTAACTAAAATAACAATTCTGTTAAAAAAATTTGTTCTATATGTAATTTTTCTTGAGATAAATTCCCTTAAATTGAAATTGTATTAATTTGAAATTCGGTGTACTGGAAAATCTGCTTTATATAATTTTACTAAATAAAAATTTGATACTTTAAGATTTGACGTCGTAAAAATCCTTTTAAATTAAATATTGAGAATATATATACGTCCCAATTAGTTTATTTATTTCATTTAAATATTTTATGTTTTATGAAACATTATTTATTTGGTTCAAATACATATGAAATTAGTGGATAATAGACAGGTAAATGATTTAATTGTATCAAATTAAAAGTTTTTTTAGTGTAATTTAGGTAACTAATTTATGGATTTTAAATTTCAAATAGGGTTCATTAAAAGATTTTTCCTATACTTTTCAATGCCAAAAAACGTTTTTTCAAAAAAAAAAAAAATATATTAAATAGGGTAAATGCACTAATTGCGGCGCGATTAGAGTCAAAACACCTTTGAAATAGAAAATTCGACATTTCTATTGTATAAACTCAATTTAAGACTTATTAAACTAAAAACTTATGTTATTTAGATATTCAAAAAAAATTTAACTCTATAAAAATCAATTATTTAAACAAATATGAGAAATTAAAATTAATACCGTAATTTTCTATTGCGGCGCGTTTGTATTAGTTTCAGTGTATCAATTGCGGTGACCAAAATTACGTGTATTTTAAAGATACTTTGCCCGCCGAAATTGAAGCCAATGGAAATCTTAAAAATGTTTCAATTACAGCGAGGGTAAATTTGATCTCAAATAATTAAATTAATAATTGTTTAAATGTGCATCTTTATAAGTAATTGTATCAGAAAAAAAATTAAAATAATTTTTTTAAATCATTTTGCAACAGTTATATTGAATATAATAGTAATAATAGTTATTTTTTATGAACGCGCCGTAATTGGTACACTTACCCTATTTGACACGTTATTTTAAAGAAACAAATTTTATAATGAGCTCTGAATTACTGCTGATATGAATGTATTGCTGTGAATTATTTATACTATGAGACCAGAAATGCATTGAAAAAGTGATTAGGTTGCTCACAGGAATTAAATTTGTTTCTAATGCTGTTCAGATATAAATAATTCAATTAATAATAATTAAAATGTGCAAAGACTAGAAAACTGTTTTAATAATGACGATGATTTTTGTAAGCAATTTTTTCATTTACATTTGATAATTTTTTTTCACATATTTTTGTGATCAATTGCTTTAGTTGAATGAAATTTATTGCATAATGAGGACATAAATAATTTCTCTAAAATAAATAAACATTTAGAGAAATTTTGAAAATACATTATGAATAATTAGAATGTTTTATGTAATTTAAATATTGTTCTTTTGTGAAATGATACTTTTTACATCTTTATTCACTGTAAATGAAATTAATTACCTAGTTTAATTCAATTATTTTTAAAATAATTTAATTTTATCTAAATTATCTAAAATTAATTTTTTATACTATCTAGTACTTTATTTTATGTAAGTTATCTTACTTTTTCACATTTCATAATTTAAATAAAGAATATTCTAAAAAATATGTCTTTTTCTTTAATTTTTAACGGTGGAGCACCAGTATTTTACCAAAACAAGCTAAATTTCTATTTCCGTTTTGAATTTTAATTAATCAATCATACCAAAAGTTGTGTTTGTAGGTACGTGTATTAAAAGTTCTATATAATAGAATATTAAAAAAAAAAAATTATCTAATAGTTTTGATGGGAAAACAAAACCTGGAGCACAACTCCCTACTCTCCCCTAGTTATTGCCTATTGATTTTAATTTTTCATTACAATAATCAAAAAATAATAAATTCATAATTAATTTAAAAATTTCAATAGGTTGAAATTTCCCTGAGATTTCTGCCCTTAAATAAAATTATACTAAATCTAAAACAATTATTATTTTGGTTTATTCTTCAGAATATTTTTTTTATCTAAATAGATATAGGGTAAGTGCACCAATTACGGCGCGTACATAAAAAATAACTATTATTCTTATTATTATTATTATATTTAATACAGCTGTTGCAAAATGATTTTAAAAAATTATTTAAACTGTTTTGATAGAATTACTAATAAAGATGCACATTTAATCAATTATTAATTTAATTATTTGAGATCAAATTTTTTTCCTCGCCGTAATTGAAACATTTTGAAGATTTCTATTGGCACCAATTACGGTGGGGAAATTATCTTCAAAATACACGTAATTTTGGTCACCGAAACTGATACAAACGAGCCGTAATACAAAATTACGGTATCAGTTTTAAGTTCTCATATTTGTTTAAATAATCGATTTTTATAAAGTTTGAAATTTTTTTTAATATCTAAATAACCTAAGCTTTTAGTTGAATAAGTCTTAAATTGACTTTATACAATAGAAATGTCGAATTTTCTATTTCAAAGGTATTTTGACTTGAACCGCGCCGTAATTAGTGCATTTAACCTATATATGATTTTTTTTCCATAAAACAATGTGTATATTTTTTTGCAGAGACATCAACATGAGTACTGTAGCAGAGCAACCATGCTATACGCTAATTAATATAGCAATTGATGCAGAGCCTTTCAATGAAATGCAATTGAAACAAGATCTCGAAAAAGGAGATCTTAATACAAAAATTGAGGCTCTTAAAAAAACAATTCACATGATATTAAGTGGAGAAAGACTTCCAGGTCTTTTAATGACAATTATTAGATTTATTTTGCCTCTTCAAGATCATATGATAAAGAAACTTCTTTTAATATTTTGGGAAATTGTACCAAAAACTTCTGTAGATGGAAAACTACTTCAAGAAATGATATTGGTGTGTGATGCTTACAGAAAAGATCTTCAGCATCCCAATGAATTCGTGAGAGGATCCACTTTAAGGTAATATTCATTTAAAAATTAATTTTTTTTTACCCTCAATCATAGGTAATCTTCTAATTATATTGTTACCTCATGCACATGAAATATTTTAATACCAAATATTTTCGGAATTCACATTAGACCTATATCGGAATTTTTGTGGTGTGAAATTCAAAATTATCGAATTTTTATTTCACAGAATTTTAGAAAGTTAATTTTATGATAAGCCTAATTTTCATATCGATGAATTTCTATTTACACGTTAAGATAACCTTAAAACTGATTAATTGTTTTTCAACAATTTAACGCATTCAAAATTATGATTAAAATTAATTGTAACTAATTTTAGAAGACCTTGTTAGTCGGAAAATGTTCTTTCGTACGTGATGCACATAGTACTTTGTGCAACACCAATTTAGAGAAAATGCTTTTTATTAAGTGAATAACAAGCTACAATTAATGTTTATATTTATAATAAAAAATATTTATTAAATTCATAAAATATGTAAAAATTTCTATATAATTAATTTTGTACACAAATTCAACTGCCAATAGCGAGCAAAAGTCAAAGTTCAAAAAAAATAAAGTCATAACGCTCGATGCTACCAGCGTACATACTTGTAAACATCCTTTAAAGTACTTTTCTGTACTAGTGCAGCAAAGTAATGTTTTGCGCCTTATTTACAGGCATATAAAGTAATGCTTTTCTTTAAGGTGTTGCACAAAATAAATTATTTAAAAAAAGATTTTGAATCAACATCGTTTTTCTGTAATTAACAAGGTCTTCTAAAATTGGTTGCAATTAATTTTAATCATAATTATTTTGTTTGCGTTAAATTGTTTAAAAAAAATTTCTCAGTTTTGAGGTTATGTTAATGTGTACCATTCCTCCTTAAGTAAATTCTAATTTAATAGAATTTTTATTTAACTGAACTTTTATAAGGCAGATTTTCTAATACAGATCAGGGTTGCCACGGTTTTTTTTTTTGCTTCTAAAAATTATTTTCTTACATTTTTATAATTGTAGGCCTCGGATCGACTTTTGAAAGAAAAATAAAAGTCATTTTAGTCGATTTACTATGCAAGAAAAGTCTAAAAACATTTTTTTCTTTTCAATTTTAATTAATTGATAAATATTTTATTATTTACAATTTGTTATTAGAAATTAAATAAAATTTATTAATTCATCAATAAGAATGTTTCACAGAAATATTTTCAAGAATTTTTCTTTTTAAATCACCGAATTAAATAATAATTAAATTTCAGGAGATTATTGATTGAAACTTTCATTTTGAATTGGTGAAATTTTTTTTTTTAACTTTAGATAATAATTGAATTTTCAATTGAAAATTGTTTTAAATCATGTAATTTTCAAAGAATTTGTTTTAAATTATTGAAAAAAATTGATTTTGCAAACAATTCAAGTTAATATATTTTTTTAATAATTCAATTTAAAAAAATAAAAGAAAAGTCGAAAAAGTCGTGCAATTCGACGCCTGTTATTGAAAACCTCTTGAAATATTTTCATTAGGGTTAGGGAAAAAATTTTGAATTTTTAAATTAAATAATGCCTATTTGACCGAACTGACAATTTTTTTATTATGATATGAAAATTTTAAGTTCGTCTATTATCTGCAAACATACTAAAGCAGTAATTAATTGAAAAATTGAAATAAAATTTTCAGATTTCTCTGCAAATTAAAAGAACCAGAATTACTTGAACCATTGATGCCAGCTATTATTTCATGTTTAGAACATCGTCATTCATACGTGCGACGTAATGCAGTTCTTGCAATATTTACAATCTATCGAAATTTCGAATTTCTTATACCAGACGCTCCGGAATTAATAGCCAAATACTTGGAAGGAGAACAAGACATGTCTTGTAGAAGAAATGCATTTTTAATGCTTTTACATGCTGATCAAAATAAAGCTTTGGCATATTTAACAGCGTGCTTAGATCAAGTGCCCAGTTTTGGAGATATTCTTCAACTTGTTATCGTTGAATTAATTTATAAGGTAATTAACATTAAACATATTTAATATTTTTATTAATTACTCTATATATTTACAAATTACAAAAATAAATTATTATATTTTTAATTTGAAACAAGATATCGAGCCCACAGTCGAAAGACCATTAAATGGCAAATACATTTGAATAGAATTAGGATAAAAAAATAATTGTATAATATAAGATCTATATAAAAACAAAAATAAAAAATAAAATCCTAATTAAAATTCTAATACTATTACTTAAAAAAAGAAAAAAATATATATATTTTTCAATAAACTAATAATTATCTTCGACTAACGATATAATTTTTAATAACGCTCTTGAAAGTATTAAGAGATATTCTCTATTTACATTAATTCAAGTTGTAGGAAAGAGTTCTTTTAAGGGGTTATGCCACTCTAGAGACCGAAAAAATAGGTGTTTTATGTGAATTTTTTTTAGAAAAACCATAAAGTCAATTAAAAATATAATATAAGAAGTTTATTATACATCTTTTTAGGTGTAAAAAAATAATTTCTTATAAATATTTCTTGAAGAATGGTGGCGCTGTAGCGGTCGTCCTTCGACTCCTCTATGGTTCAAGGGGTACGTGGCCGAACTAACTGCTCCTGTAAATTTTGAAATATCTTGAGTATCTAAATTTTTTTTTATTATATATTACAATAGCTAAAGTAACACGTAGGATTTTTTCGATATATTGATTCATGATCAAATGGCGCACTTCTAAAGTTAAACTTTCTAATTTCGACTAAAAAACCATCAGTTAATAGTTAATAACAAATGAACTATATAGAATAAAAAAAAAATCCTACGTGATACCTTAAAAAATGTATTTTTAAAGATGTGTGTCAAATTTGAACCTAATCGGTTGGAAATTGTACGAGTTGTTGGTTCGGCCAACTCGAAAAATGTAGTTTGGAGATAAACGCGTTTAAAGTTTTAAGTTGTAAAAAACTTAAATAATTTCACAATACCTTTAATCTGCAATGCCTGCACCATATAATTGACCACTATAGTCTAGCAAGTAACTAGCGCCTTTGAAAACATCTGCCGTATACCTGCTGTAGATCCTTCAAAGATCACCCCCCGTAGAACTGACAAAATGAGCTCGCCGCGTACCGTGCAGCCTTGCAAGGAACTTCGAAAATAAATTATTTAGAGATTTTTCCGAGCCATAATCCTGCAATATGTTATTTCTGAGACCCTAAGGAACTATTTAAAGCAAAAAAAAAAAAAGCGATTTTTTGAAAATCCTAGAGTGGCATAACCCCTTAAATTTACAGAAGGAGAGAGCAATGTTTCAGTTAAAATTAAAATACATAAATACCAGGCTCAAAATTTCTGAAGTGGGCCACTAATTTTTCGATGGCGAGATTTTTATAAGTCATATCAATAATTTTATAGTATTTTCGAATCAAAATAAGATCCTAAAGTTATATTGCAAAATTTTAATTTTTTTAAGAGTTATTGTTTAAACAATTTTTAAGCAGCCAATTTCATACCAAATTTCAGCAAAATCCATCAAATGGAACCGTAGAAAAGCTTTTTTTACTAATTGGCTGCTTAAAAATTGTTTAAACAATAACTCTTAAAAAAATTAAAATTTTGCAATATAACTTTAGGATCTTATTTTGATTCGAAAATACTATAAAATTATTGATATGACTTATAAAAATCTCGCCATCGAAAAATTAGTGGCCCACTTCAGAAATTTTGAGCCACCATCATTGAGAAATTCGGAATGACCAAAAATTAATAAATTAGATTTACGTCTTTGCATATCTTCAAATTCTTGTAAAATAAAATCTTTAGAATCAACATTCTTATTTACCAACGATTCTAAAGTATCAACACGACCCTGAACCAAAGACAATGCATTTTGAACGGTGTCAACTTTACCTTCTATATTTTCTAACTGTGTTTTAAACTCAGCGAATCCAATCTTAGAAAAAGTATTAATTAACAAAAATATTAGCAGTTCGCAAAAGTATTAAAAAGTATAATTTCTGATCCTAAGCAGAATAATCTAATGTAATCATAATTCCACACAATTAAAAAAGTTGAGGCATTCATGTAGTTCTGTTCATTTATTCATGTAGGGTAAGTGTACTAATTACGGCGAGTGCACCAATAACGGCGCGTTCATAAAAAATAACTATTATTACTATTATATTTAATATAACTGTTGCCAAATGATTAAAAAAAATTATTTCAATCTTTTTTTGATACAAATACTTATAAAGATGCACATTTAAACAATTATTAATTTAATTATTTGAGATCAAATTTTTTTCCGCGCCGCAATTGAAACATTTTTAAGATTTCCATTGGCTTCAATTTCGGCGGGCAAAGTATCTTCAAAATAGACGTAATTTTGGTCACCGAAATTGATACAAACTCGCCGCAATAGAAAATTACGGTATTAGTTTTAATTTCTCATATTTGTTTAAATAATCGATTTTTATAGAGTTAAAATTTTTTTTTAATATCTTAATAACATAAGCTTTAAGTTTAATAAGTCTTAAATTGAGTTTATACAATAGAAATGTCGAATTTTCTATTTCAAAGGTGTTTTGACTCGAATCTCGCCGCAATTAGTGCATTTACCCTATTTTGAAATATTTTATTTATAAAAAATGGTATATCAAGAATTATGTTTAGAATATTTAAATTCTACAAATTTTTTTTATATAACTTAATTTTCCAAGAATTTAATTAAACTTATTGAAAATAAATAAATTTTCGTTTAATTTTATTTAATTTTTTTCTAAATTATTAAATTTTACAAGATTAGTAGCTGATTTTGTTTTCATCAATAAAATTTCAGACAATTTTCATTTGAAAATTTTAGTATTTGAATCCATGAAAAACTTTATATTAATTTCTTAAAAAAATTTAGATTTTTGAGAATAATTTGATAATTCAATGAGATGCAATTAAATTTTTTTATATCAATTAATTGAAAAAAATGAAAATAATAATAAAATTTGCTGCTAGTTTTAGTTAGTTAAAAGGGTTTTTAAATAATATATTTATTTATTTATTCAGATTTAATTAAATTTGGATTTAGTATAAATAATTCAATTTTGAAATAGTTGCAATTGACAGTTTTGATGTTAGTTTAAATAATTTTAAATTAAAAATTTAAAAAGTAATTCAATGGTTTGCGAGAAATTTATGTAGAATTATTTTATTTTAAAAATTATAGTTTCGAAAATGATTTAATTTTTGTAGATATTTAATTACAAGGATGTTAAATAATTGAAATTTTGTCAAATTTGATTGCAGATTTTTAAAATAATTGAATTTTTAATAGAATATTATTAGCATTTTTGAAAATATTATTTAAGCAAAAAGCCAAACGAACCGTCGCTTAAACCTACAGTCGAGTATATTTGTTAGACATAAAAAAATTCAATTTTAAAAGTATTATGAGTTACTATGTTATAGGTGAATCTTAAAAAAAAAATAATTGCTAATTTTGGAAACTTTAAAAAAGTCTTGTAATTTTTCTCAAAATTTGCTGAACTTTTTTTATTTTTTTCTTAATTGATTTAATTATTGTTGAAATTTTAGATACTTTTTCGTTATACTAATTCAATTTTAAATTTATTAAATACATTTAATAATTTTGAGCTTAAGTAAAAATTTCTCAGATTTAATTTATAAAAGTAAACTTTTAACAACATAATAATAACATAATTGACACTATTCGAAAGCAGAATTGCAACTTTTTTGAGATTTCAAATCATTTTTCTCAAAAGAATAAAGTTCCTGTCGCTGGTTACAAAAAATAGTATGTTTCTTAAATTATCTTTTAATTTAAAATAATTTAATTATCCCTAAGGTTATTATGGTAAAAAAGTGTTTAATCAAAAGTTATATACCATTAAAAATTTAATTTTTCTTTGAAAAATTTTGAAAGTTTAGAAAAAATTATATCATACCTACATAATAAAAGCAATTTTATAAAAAAAAAGTCTTAATTATTTATTTTGCAGGTGTGCTTGGCAAATCCATCAGAGCGTGCACGTTTTATTAGGTGTATTTACAGTTTATTGAATTCTCCAAGCGCTGCCGTTCGTTATGAAGCCGCTGGAACATTAGTAACACTTTCAAGTGCTCCAACTGCAATAAAAGCTGCTGCTTCTTGTTACATAGAGCTTGTTGTGAAAGAAAGTGATAATAATGTGAAACTTATTGTTCTCGATCGTCTTATAGCGATGAAGGAAAGTCCATCACATGAAAGAGTACTTCAGGATCTCGTCATGGATATTTTGCGAATTCTAGGTAAGATAGAAATATAATTTTCAAAAAATTGAATTCTAAACCAAGCATTTTTTTTTAATAAATAAATTATCAATATTTACTATAATATTATAGAATAATTGTCTTTGGACATTTTTTATAACTATGATTTTAAAAGTTGATCTATTAAATAACCTAATTTTGCAATTTTGATTCATTAATTGTAAAAAAAAAGGAATTCATTTTTGAGTTTTTTTTCTTTTTAATTTTTGAGTTATTAACATTTAATAATTTACTATGAAAATGTTTACAGTTTCTCCAGCATTGGAAGTTCGTTCTAAAACTTTATCCTTGGTGATGGATTTGGTAACAACTCGAACAGTTGAAGAAATGGTTCAATTATTAAAAAAAGAAATCTTAAGAAGTTCTGGCGGAGAGCATGAGGATGCTGGAAAGTATCGTCAACTTCTTGTTCGAACATTACATTCGTGCTCTATCAAATTTTCAGACGTCGCTGTTACTGTTATTCCAGTTTTAACTGATTTTCTAGCCGAGAATAATGAAGCTGCCGCTACAGATGTTCTTGTTTTCGTTCGAGAAGCCATTCAAAGATTTGAGAATCTTAGACCTCTTATAATTGAAAAACTACTTGAGGTAAATAATAATAATAATAATAATAATAAAAAAATTAAATTATTTTGAAAATTTGAATCTAAAAAGTCTTTGTAAAATTTGATATTTTCAATAATTAAAAAAAAAAAATTTTCGAAAATTAAACTATTTAAAAGATTTTTCAATTAAAAATTTTCTAAAATTCTTTTTAAAAAATCTTCAGCAATTCAAATTTATAAAATTTTTCAATTCAAAATCTCCTGAAATTTGATTAATTCTAAAAATCTTTGCAAAATTTATGCCATGTTGTAGGATTATATGAAAGAACTTTTTTCACAAAATGCTAACGCGCACTAGGCTAAAACAAAGAAGAATATCAAATTTGAAAATTCGCAGATTTTCACGTTTTTCATATACTTTGTGCAACAGTTACTTCTGTAGGCATTCAGATTTAATTTAGAGTTTCCTATTTTGACATAAGTACTTTTTTATAGTGTTTTTATACTAATATTTTTATTATTATAGGTATTTCCACAAATTCGGTCCGTTAAAGTACATAGAGCTGCTCTCTGGATATTAGGAGAATATGCAACATCAAAGGACGACATTGAAGCTGTTATGAATCGCGTAAGAGCAGCTTTAGGAGATTTACCTTTAGTTGAAGCAGAGAACAATCGTCAAGCAGGCGAAAAAAGTTTAGACGAAAGTGCACAAAATTCTCCAATTCAACTTGTCACATCAGATGGAACCTATGCCACTCAAAGTGCATTTAATTCGGTTTTAATAGGTAATGGAAATAATGTTTTTTTTCCCCCCTTTAAAATACAACACTTTTTATAAAGTCGATATTATTTTAAAGAATAATAATATTTTATAAAATCAATATTGTTATTATTTAAAAGGGAAAAAAAAGTTATTTAAAATTCTTTATTTTACTAAAATTTTAGGAAAGAAAGAAGAGAAGCGTCCAACATTGGTACAGTATATGATGGATGGCGATTTCTTTATTGGTGCATCCTTGGCGACAACACTTTCGAAGCTTGCTCTTCGTTATAAAAATCTAGAGACAAGCCAACAAAAGAGCAATAGAATGCAAACAGAAGCGATGCTCATTATGTCCAGTGTTCTGCAACTCGGCAGATCTGGTCTACCTTCAAAACCAATGACACACGACGATGCTGAAAGGGTTTCTCTGTGTTTGCGATCTCTCGCTTGCCCGACGCCACTTGTTCAAAAAGTCTTCACAGAAGGTTGCCGTGAGGCTCTAGGTAGAATGTTGACAGCTAAAGCTGAAGAGGATTTGCTTAGTCAGAAGGTGAGTCAATGCCCATTTGTAAATGAAGCACTTATATGGATGATTAAATTTAAAATTGCATTTTTACCAACTACAAATGTTGGAATTGGTGGTTGAATAATTTTTTTTTTGGTTGGCTAGCATGTATAAACCATGAAATTAATTGAGGTCGAGCACATGATAGAAAATATTTTAATAATCAGACAGGTTTTTGAAAAAAAACATACATTTCAACGACACACTTTTTAGTAAGGTAAAGAAGACTCAAAATACAATTAGAATGGCCAACAAATCGCTATTTTTTCAAAATTTAAGATAATATTAAATTTAAATTTCATCAGGAAAAATTTTATTTCACAAGATATTTTTTTTGAACGTGTGTCAGACACCAAAGAAAAATTCAAAAAAAAAAAATAGTTCTGCTTTCTTTTACTTTTGCCTCAAATAAATCTACTCCAGTTTAAATGGTGTAAATACTTGGATGCAGAAACTAAATGATCAAATACGAATTATAAAGTAATTTTTATTGAGTTTCATTGTAAATCATTTTATTGACCCAATTGACCAATTTTTTCTACTATTAATAATTTACAGGAAAAACGAAGAAAATAATATAATGACAGGTTCATTACGTCCTTCCGCCGTCAGATGGCAGAAGCATGCAGGGAGCACAAAGTTGTAGATGTTATTATATTACTTTCCTAATTTTCGTTTTTCAAAGTATAATTTTTTAAATTTGTCGAACGGGCTTTGAAATTCTTTGGCATTTAATTATCGCCCTATAAAAACGGCACAGAACGTGAAAATGATAAACATTGATTTTAATAGTATATTTTGACGAAGCTGAAGTACGCAACGTTTATGATAAACAATAGAAATAATTTTTTGAAATGAAAAATTCTACAATTTTTTGCCTAATTTTTTTTTATAATTTCTTGATTAATGAAAATTATAAGAAATATTTTTTAGGCAAAAAATTATAGAATTTTACATTTTAAAAAATTGTTTCTTTAAAAATCGTTTATCATAAACGTTGTGTACTTCAGCTTCGTATATTTTGAGCATGTGTGATAAAAAATATTTTTCTCTCGAAACACGGACACCTTTTATATAATCGGCCAAAATGCCATGGATCCTTATCTTATAAATTTCCTAAATCTGAATGATTCCATACAAAAACGCGATTGAAAAACAAAAATTAGGAAAGTAATATAATAACAACTGCGACTTTGTGCTTCCTGCATGCTTCTGCCATCTGACGGCGGCAGGACGTAATGAACCTGTCATTATATTATTTTCTTCGTTTTTCCTGTAAATTATTAATTGTAGAAAAAATTGGTAGAAACAATAAAATTCCTTTTTTTAATATCTACAAATGCCATCTGATGAAATTATTTCTTAAATGAATATTTCTTGAAGAAAAGTTGAATTTTTGTCATTTTGAATTTTTTAAATCAACTTTTTTCAAAAACGGCTCCACTAAAGATTTTCGTTTTTATTGAAAAATGATGTATTTATGATCTATAATCGAAATAAAAACTGCCAGAAACTTTAGGTTAAATCGGTTTAAAAAGCGCCGTGATAGATTAATAATTGTTGCATTTCTTTTAGGCTAAGGAAAAACCAGGAAATATTGTACAAGTCGATGATGCAATACAATTTATGCAATTAACTCGTGGATCAGATTTAACAGGCGGTGCTGGTGATGTTTTTGAACAAAGTTTAAGCGCAGCAGTGGCAGGAAAGTCAACGGGAGGTCAAGATGTTTCGACACCAAATGCTCTAAGCAAAGTAACGCAACTCACTGGTTTCTCTGATCCCGTCTACGCTGAAGCCCTCGTTCATGTCAATCAATATGACATTGTCCTTGACGTTCTTATTGTCAATCAAAGTGAAGATACACTTCAAAATTGTACTCTTGAATTGGCTACAATGGGCGATTTGAAACTTGTAGAAAGACCACAGTCCATTGTTTTGGCACCAAGAGATTTTGCGAGTATTAAGGCTAACGTTAAAGTCGCCTCCACTGAGAATGGCATCATCTTTGGAAATATTGGTATGAACATTTTTCATTTTCAGTAACATTAATTAAAATTTTTGGCTATTGTCACTATGTTTTTCATAATCAGCGCATCAAAATACATAAAAGTACGTAGTATAAAAAAAAACCAAAAATATTTTGAAAAATTTCAAAATTCAAAAATTTTTGAAAAATTCCGAAATTATTGTAAAAATTGTTTTGCCCATTATCGGGCTAGGCTTAAAAGTTTCGTAAAAAGAAGTAGTTTTTTTGAAAAAATTTTGAAAAAACTCGATCAGTACGTCAAATGAGAAAAATGACTTCTTATCATTAAAACTCAAAAATTTGATAGTAATATCGTTTAAAAAAAAATTTCGATTTTTTTGTTGAAAAGTACGTTTAAAAACACACATTTTTAAAACAAAGACTTTTAAAATTGATGCATTTTTAAGGAAGTTATGAGCATTCAAAAATTAAAAGTCATGAAAATTCTCCAATTTTCAAATTTCCATGACTCGAAAACGGCTTGCTAAAAAAATTTGAAAAAATTCATGGAAGCTAGTTTCAATTAGTACTAAAAGAAAAAAAAATCAGAGATGCAATTGCAGATGGACTTACACTTTAGCGTGGAATACATTATATAGTAAACAGGAACTAAAGTAATTTTTTTATTTTTTTAATTGAATTAATGAGATTTATGGAATATTTACGCGTTAAGAATAATTGTATGAATCGCATTTATTTAGAAACTAAGAAAAAAAAAATTCTTTTTTGTGCAGTGTACGACGTATTTGGTGCAGGATCAGATAGGTGTGTTGTTGTTTTAAATGATATTCACATCGATATTATGGACTACATTGTACCAGCCACTTGCACTGACGCAGAATTCCGTCAAATGTGGGCAGAATTCGAATGGGAAAATAAAGTTTCAGTGAATACAACTCTCTCCGATTTGCGAGATTACTTGGCGCATCTTCTCAAATCAACTAATATGCGTTGCTTAACTCCAGAAAAGGTATTGTTTACAATTATTATTATTTATTTTTGATGAATTTTTTTATAATTCTATCGATTTCAAAACGTTGAAGTAAATTTTTATTAAAACAACAATGGTTTGAATGTTATCGTTTTATTCATACAAAACCTTCTAATTAAATTTTAATTTTTGTTGCAATAAAATAATGAAGAAAACAAAAATTTTGATACTGAAATTTAAATTTTTAAAAAAAATTTCGCCTATAATTGCAGGCACTTTCTGGACAATGTGGATTTATGGCTGCTAATATGTATGCAAAATCAATATTTGGTGAAGATGCGTTGGCTAATTTGTCTATTGAAAAACCTTTAAATAGACCCGATGCTCCTGTTGTTGGTCACATTCGTATAAGAGCTAAAAGTCAAGGAATGGCCCTATCGCTTGGTGATAAAATTAATTCAACACAAAAAGGTCCACAAAATAAAGTTGTCCAAGCTGCTTGAATAAGAATTACTCATCATTAGAAATAAATATTCTGCTTTTTATTGTTCTACGTACATTTTTATGACGCAGTGGAAAAAAAATGATTTATTAACACCTCAAAAAAAAAAAAAAAAAAAAAAAAAAGATTCAATGAGTGTGAATGTAATCTTCAGTAGGCGTTTGTTTGTACTTCTTTTATTTCACTTTTACATATTATATATCTTATTTGTTAAAATAGATTTTTAAATTCTTTTAAATAAATGGAAGAAATATAAATAAAAAAAAAGAAATCATCGTGTTTAAAAACATTAATTATAAACAAAAGCGTCGAATCGACTTTAAACCGCAAAAGAAGTCATTTGAGTCGTTTTGAATTCCAAAAGTCGATTTTTTATTTCTAATAAATTTAATTAGTTAATAAATATTTTATTTCAAATAACTATATTATTATTACAAATTAAATTAATTTTATTTATTCCGTAATAAAAATATTTCTATAGGAATATTATAAAGAAAATTTATTTCGAATATGTCAGAATCGAACTAAGACAAATTTTTAAGATTTTAATTTAAGTAAATTATTTAAATTCAAACAAAAATATTTCGAATTGTAATTAAATTTTAAAGAGTTTTTAACTGAATTTTTTTTAAATAATTAAATTACAGATTTTAAATTGAAATAAATTTTTGCAATTTAAAATTGCGGTAGTTTTTTTTTTAAATTTCTGATAATTAAAAGTTTGAGTTTTTGTTTGAAAATTTTTTTAGATAATTGATGAAAAAAAATAAAATAATGAAAAATAAATGAATTTTGCAAGGCATACAATTGAAATTTTTAGAATTAATTTAATTTCATATTACTGTTATAAAAAATGCAAATGGTCGAAAATCATTTGACGGAATTTTTATTTAGACGAAAATAAATTTGACAGAAATTCAATTTGATCGAATCTCAATTTGATTAAAACTTTGTCTTATAGAATATTAATTCAGCAGAATTATAATTTAAAAGAATCTTAATTTTGTAGAATATTCATTTCCTTGAATATTAATAACGAGAAAATTAAAATGGTCGAATATCAATTTACCAGAAATAATTCGGCGGAAACTTTAAATTTGACCAATCACAATTTTCTTGATAATTTCTGATTGGTTAAATTTGAAGTTTTCGCCGAATTATATTTCTGGCAAATTGATTTTTTCGACCATTTTAATTTTCTGGACATTAATATTCGAACAAATGAATTAAGATTCTTTTAAATTATAATTCTGCAAAATTAATATTCTACAAGACAAATTTTCGATCAAATTCTGTATTTTTAAAACTCATCGCCCGTCAACTTGAAGTATTAAAAAAATGTCGAATCGAGTAAATTTAACAGCAGTGAATTATAATTATAAGAGAATAATTATTATAGTGCCATTGATATTAAATTTGATGGGGTTAATTAAATTTTCTACAATTTCTTTTAACGGTTCTCTCTTCTCAAAATAAAAGCAAAATAATAATTTCAAAGTAAATTATTTTATTGTAAAATAAAACACTTTAAGACAAATACAATATTATGTCTTTCATTTAAGTAATTTTCTAATTTTAACAATATTCTCTTAAATTTATAGTAGAAATTTTTCTTGCTTACTATACAATAGAAAAGTCTCTTTCAATGTACGACTGTATAATGAGAGGAATTTCCAGTTTATCTGGATTTTGCTCCAACAAACAAGCAAGTAATCTTGGTACAGAGACAATCATTCCAGAAATTATGCCTGGAAACGTTTGATTTCTACAACTTGCGTCATTGCTCGCAATCATTAAACGTTTACTGATAAAATCGCCATAAGCCGAAATAAATCCAACTTCGACATACTGCTGATGAAATGAAGACCAAAGCTCAAATGAAACTTTATAACTCTCCCATGATCGTAATTCAGATGCGGATCTCTCCACAACTCTGTAGTGAATTCCAAGTTTGTCATAAATTTCTATTGCCTTCTGCATTATGCTGTCGAATTCAAGTTTGTACTTTTCACTTTTCATCTCTGGAATTATCGAGAAAATATGCACAGAAGATGATTGACACACGGTGAAAAGGCCCATTGATTGTAAATTTTTAGGCATTGGCGTATATTGCTTTCCGATGGTGAAATATCGTAGGGGAACATTTTTCCGTTCAATTATCTGTTTTGCATGCCAAGAAAGAAATGACATGAGACTCGCTCCGCCTACGAGGTGTAATCGACTTAGTGAATTTTTCACAGAGTCAGCTTCACTCGATAGAATAAACGATTCATTTGGATCGTTGTAACTCAAACCTGAACCTTCCACTACAAGACTACGACAAAAGTCGGAACCTGCAATCAATCAATATTTAAAATTTCATTAATTATGTGCACCATAGATTGATTCAGTCATCATAGTGATCGTAAAAAATATTTTAGGGGGAATAGGAAAGAGAAAATTAAAAAATAAGAGACTTTTAGGGTATTATGAAAATTACATAAGTAAAGATGAAGTGTTAATTTATAGATTAAATCACAAAGATCGCCATATTGGATCCGCCATTTTGAATTTTTAAAAACTTACATTTAATTCGTAATTAACGATCCCACAAACCCCCGAGTAACGAGTTTCAAGATAGTTAATTCAACTATTTGGGTTTTACTCACTTTTGAATGTTTCCGCCTAATTTACAGCGAATTTTCTACTTTTATTTAGAATACAATTTAAAATCGAATTCAGACAAATTTTCTGGATTTCAATTCAATAAGGAAAATTTTTGAACAAATTATTATTTAGTTACTTTTTTTTTAAAGAAAATTTAAGTTTAATTTATAAAAATTATTCGCATTCAGAATTTCGGCAAATATTTTAAATAATAATGGAATTTTAGAAAAATTTTAATTAACAAATGTTTTAAATAATTGAATTTTTAAAAAACTAGATTAGTTTTTATAAATAATAAATTAAATCTTAATAAATAATTAATTAATTCAACAAAAAATATAAGTTTAAAATAAATGAAAATATTGTAAATTTGAATTAATGAAAATTATTAACAAAATTTTAAACAATAATTGAATTTTAGAGAATTTTGAATTAACCCATTAACGCCCAAGAACTGAAAATTTTTTGTACACATTCAGGTTACGTTATTTTAAATAAATCGGTCAACATTTTCTACGAGAGGTACATTTCCTATAGGTCTTGAGTGTGCTCTTTCCGATTCCGGTATCAAAAATTAATTTCGTCTAAGCCGAAATTAAATAGGGTAACTGCACCAGTGGTGGATCAGTTAAGCCCCTTAACTTTCTTATTTTGACTTTGAAGTTCTGTATAGGTTGCTTTTAGACAAATTGGAGGTTATTCTTTATAGTATTATGGACCAGATAGTTCCAATAGACATTTCCTTCAAGGTTAGACTTGATTTTGACACCTACGTTTACTTTAATGCTCCATCAAAGATAATTTGTCAATGATCCTATTCTGGATCACTGTTTGCACCAGTCATGGTTATAGATTGCTCCAGTGGTGGATCACTTAAAAAATCATACTAAAAAACATTGCATTTCAAAATTACGAGACTGAGACGTTTTGCAACTTTTATAAGGCTTTACGGACAGATTTTCAAATTCACTTTCCTATCCATATCCCCTCCTCTTTCCTTTCTATAGGTATAATGTGACTAAATGTTAATTAATCATCTTTTTATTACAATTTTTGGTAATAAATAAATAGAAACTCTTAAAGCTTCAGTTTCAATGATAAATAACATTTATTAATTCTGGGTATTTTAATTCAACAAAAATTTAACAATTTGAAATCAGGTGTTAACAATTAATAAACATTTGAATTAGTGTTAACTAAAATTTAACTCATAAAATTTTCAATAAAACAAAACTAAAAGTTAAATTAACGTTAAAAATTTTTTAAAAAAATTAAATTCACAAATTTTTTAATTAAACAAAACTAAAATTTGAATTTATGTTAAAAATTTTAGAAGATAATTTAATTCATAAAATTTTCAATTAAACAAAATTTAATTTTATGTTAATAATGTGGAGCGTCCACAATGCGTCAACAGGCGAAAAGTAGGACTGATCCACCACTAGATTTTGTTACTTTTTTGGTTCCAGTCGTGGATCACCCGAAAACAATGGACACGCGCTACTTACAGATGTAAATATTGTTCTCAGGGCTCTATGGGGATGAAACGAAATGCCTCCTATTGTGAAAAGAATTAAAAATTGTCCTAAAATGTCTCCAAAGCTTTCTATTCCAAAATATACTCTTAACTTACATGCTAAGGAAAACTCTTGTTTTCTGTCACCACTTTAGTAATTGTTGTCCTGCTTTCTTCGCGATGAATTTAAACATTTTTTTAAATTGTAATATTGATCTGTATAACTTTCTTAACAATTACCGACACTTGCGGTTCATTTACTTACAAACGTGTAAACACAAATGACCATTTTTCTCGTAGTTGATCCACCACTGGTGCAGTTACCCTATGGCGGTTTAAATGTCAAAAAACACAAAAAAAGTTTCATTTTTTTCAGTTTGACATTTTTTTTCAATCGGAAAAAATGTAAGAATAAAATTAAATTGTCAACCATAGGTGCATAAAAGTTGTGTACTTTCGAGAAACGTAAAGTAGAATAAAAAATTTCAAGATGGCGGACCAAATATGGCGTCAAATTCATTGTAAAATGTGAAAATTTTGTGCAATATTGGTCAAATTGACAAAATGTAACTGGATTTGCCTGAATTTTGTTACTCGGGGGTTCTTGGGGTCGCTGATTAAGAATCTGAAGTCGGTTTTCAAAAATGCAAAATGGCCGATCCAATATGGCGGATGAAATTTTAAAAATGCATTCAATTGGTCTGAATTTTCATACTCGGAGGTTTTCGGGGTTGCAGATTACGAATTTGAACTTCTTTTTTAAAAATTCAAAATGGCGGATCCAATATGGCGGATGAAAAATTTTAAAAATGCATTCATTTGGACTGAATTTTCATACTCGGGGGTTTTCCGGGTTGCTGATTACGAATTTGAACTTCATTTTTAAAAATTAAAAATGGCGGATCCAATATGGCGGATAAAAATTTTAAAAATGTATTTATTTGGTCTAAATTTTTATACTCGGGGGTTTTCCCGGTTGCTGATTACGAATTCGAACTTCATTTTTAAAAATTAAAAATGGCGGATCCAATATGGCGGATTTTGAAAAAAATCCATCGTATTTACATGAAATCAGTTTCTCGGGGGTTTTTGGGGTTGCTGATTAAGAATCTGAAGTCGGGTTTGTAAAATACAAAATGGCGGATCCATAACCACTATCTCCATAAAATCCAATGTTTACGCATGCGCATAGAAAAAGTTGATGAATTCGTTGAAAAAGTTTAAAAATTTACTAACTTCGTGCCCATCCAGAAGATAATATCTAGTTCATGAAAGTTTTACTAACTATTTCTTTCTGTGTGTATGTCACTAGAAATATTCAGACATGTGAATAAATAAATTTTTAATTCAGTATTAATAATTCAATCTAAAATAAACAAATTATATTTAAAAAAATAAAAAAAAAATAACATTCTTAATTTTGTCTACCTCCACGTGGTAAGAATTGGTAAACGCCTAAATGGGCTGCTAAAAAAAACTGAAAACCCCTTCAGGCTATTTGAACGGATTTTTACATTTTTCATTTGTCATATTGGATCCGCCATATTGTATTTTTGAAAACCGACTTCAGATTATTAATCAGCGACCCCAAAAACCCCCGAGTAACTGATTTCATGTAAATACGATGAATTGTTTTTTTTTAGTCCGCCATATTGGATCCGCCATTTAGAATTTTTAAAAATGAAGTTCAAATTCGTAATCAGCAACCCCGAAAACCTTCGAGTATGAAAATTCAGACCAAATGAATGTATTTTTAAAATTTTCATTCGCCATATTGGATCCGCCATTTTTAATTTTTAAAAATGAAGTTCAAATTCGTAATCAGCAACCCGGAAAACCCCCGAGTATGAAAATTCAGACCAAATGAATGCATTTTTAAAATTTTTCATCCGCCATATTGGATCCGCCATTTTGAATTTTTAAAAAAGAAGTTCAAATTCGTAATCTGCAACCCCGAAAACCTCCGAGTATGAAAATTCAGACCAATTGAATGCATTTTTAAAATTTCATCCGCCATATTGGATCGGCCATTTTGCATTTTTGAAAACCGACTTCAGATTCTTAATCAGCGACCCCAAAAACCCCCGAGTAACAAAATTCAGGCAAATCCAGTTACATTTTGTCAATTTGACCAATATTGCACAAAATTTTCACATTTTACAATGAATTTGACGCCATATTTGGTCCGCCATCTTGAAATTTTTTATTCTACTTTACGTTTCTCGAAAGTACACAACTTTTATGCACCTATGGTTGACAATTTAATTTTATTCTTACATTTTTTCCGATTGAAAAAAAATGTCAAACTGAAAAAAATGAAACTTTTTTTGTGTTTTTTGACATTTAAACCGCCATATTTAATTTCGGCTTAGACGAAATTAATTTTTGATACCGGAATCGGAAAGAGCACACTCAAGACCTATAGGAAATGTACCTCTCGTAGAAAATGTTGACCGATTTATTTAAAATAACGTAACCTGAATGTGTACAAAGAATTTTCAGTTTTTGGGCGTTAATGGGTTAAAAAATGTTTTAAATAATTTAATTATTGAAAAAAATTCATGGTAGTTATTAAAATAATTAATTTATCAAAGAATTTTAGAAACAAATTTTAAAAAATAATTGAATTTCAAATGATTTTTTATTAAAATTTTCGTAAATTTGAATTGCAGTAGTTTTCAAAATTTTTAGAAATAATTGAATTTTTGGAGATATTTTATTGAAATTAATGAAAATTAGTTAATGAAAATTATCAAATAAAATTTATAGAACTGAATTTTAGAGAATTTTAAATTGAAAAATTATTTTAAATAATGGAATTTTCAAAGAACTTGATTAAAATTATTGAAAATAATTAATTTTGTAAAGTATTCTAGTTAATATTTTTTTTTGAATAATTCAAATTGGCAAAAATGTTTATATTTTATACTAAAAAAAAAGTCGTATTTATCTAAAAAATGTTTTAAAGTCGAAGGAGTCACATTTTTTTAAAATAAGTCGAAATTAGTCGCATTCATGAAAAAAAGTCGAAAATGTCGTCTAATCTGCGATTTGCAAAATATAATTTGATAGAAATTCCATCAAAACTTTTTAATAAGTATTAAATTTTTCATTGGATAGACTTAAATGGAATCAAAGGTTTATACTAATTTTTTTGTGAAAAATAGGAGAAATTTAGGGAAAATTTTTCAAATAGGGTACATTTAAGGACAATTAGGGAAAAAGGGGACTTTTAGGGAAAATAGGGGATGACTATGAAGCCTGTAAGAATTATTCTGTTTAATTAAGAAAAGATTTAAAAAAACAAAGAATTTTCGTTTTCATTTAATAAATAAATTGCAATCTACTTGTCATGTAATTATTAGAAAAAAATCTTACCTGCAATTTGAATTGCATCCTTGCTAAGAATCTCTCCACAAAATGTAAAAGTTGCAAGTTCAAAAAGTGCTGCTTCATTACATAAATAATATTGCAATGGATTTATGTATTCTAGAACACCAAAATTATTTCCAATATCGAGATGATTTTTTCTGCTTTCTGGCAAAATATCAACAGGTTCACCTACAATTTTTAAAATAACAGACTTCTCTTCTGGTGTTCTTTCATCCAATATATTTGGTAATTTAAGAGCCCTTATAACTACAGTTTCTTCAACATCCCATATTGATTCTTTAATTATTTTTAAATCATCTTTCAAAATTTTTATTTGCGCCTTCAAAGCAATTAATTCTTCTTCATCTTTTTGAGTACGCTCCTCTTTTTTCATTAAATTGGAAATAGTTTCATGAAATTCTATTCTACGATTTTCCAACGTCCATCTATCTCTCTCTAAACGTTTATAAAATTCCCAAGTCACTTTTAAATCGTCAGCATTAATTTTTAATCCTCTTAAAAAAAGTTCTTTCTTCAATTTTTCTAAATCATTAAATCTACTGTCAAAATCGAGATATGGACAAAGATAGGAAAATGTTACAAAAGCTTTATTGCCAGAAATAAAAAGTGCAGAACAATAATTTCTAGATGAGGACTGTATATTAGAAAATCTTACTAATTTTGTAAATGCATTAACTTTTCTAAGAGAAATCATTTTTTTCTTTCTTAATTTTCTAATAACGTATTAATTTGATATTTTTGCAACTTTTGATTTCATTACAACATCATCATCATCATCAACAAGAGAAGTTTTAGATATTTGTGTTTCAATTTTTCTTTTTTTAGGTGCAATAAAATTTCCCTGACCTGCAGCACGCTCTGAATCTTCAACTGTATACGGTTCTAATTCAAGAGCTTTTAATCGTCGCTTATGAACTTTTGTGGTAAAATGATCTTCTAAAGCCCGCTGGTTTATAAAGTACCTCCTGCAAAAAAATAAGAGCAATCATTTTTTTCAAGATTCACATTTAACGTAGTAACTCAATGTTTTTAAATCTCAATTTTTTTTCTATCCAAAAATCATGATTTTTAAATATAATCTAGTTATTTACATATTTTCAAAAAATTTTAATAAAATTATTTTAAAAATCTGCAATCAAATTTTACAAAATTTCAAATATTTAGTATTCTTGTAATTAAGTATCTTTAAAAATAAAATTATTTTCGAAACTGTAATTTTAAAATAAATTCTAAATAAATTTCTCGAAAATAATTGAATTATTTATATAGAGAATTTTTTTTTTCATTAAAAAAAAGTTGTATTACCTATCTATTAATTTTTTCAAATTAATTAATAAGTATTAAACATTTTTAAATATAAATTTTTTTTCTTTAATTTTATTTCTTCGAAATATCAAATCATTTTCAAAAATCTAAATAAATTAAAATTTTCAAATGAAAATCGTCTGAAATTTTTTTCCTGTATACAAAATTAAATGCTAATCTAAAATAAAAATTAAATTACCTAAAAATTCTGTTTAATAAACATTTGTTCGGAATATTAGGAAGTTTTTTTTCACCAAATGTTGTTTGTCAATAATATTTTTAATCCTAAAAAGACTGATTGGGGTAATTTATTTAAAAAAAAAAATGTTTTAATTGTAAAAACTTACGCGCAGTGTAAACAGTAATGTTGAGCACAGCCGGGTCTATCTAAATCAACTTCTTGATTTAAAAGCTTTTCTGCGTTCTCTTCTTTCAAATCATTATCAATCTAAAAAAAAAATACAAAAGTATTAGCGTTAAACAAAAAATAGTTACAGAGTAATGTATAATGAGGATTTTCAAGTGAAGTTTCTTCTAAAAAAATTTAATTATTTATAATAAATTGTACACAAAATTAAAAGAAAATTTTAAAAAGAAAATACCAATTCTGTATAATTTCATTTATAAAGAATAAAATTCATTTTAAATATTTTAATAATAACATGATGAATAATAAAATACGGAGTTAAAAAAACCTATTGGACAGCTTGTAGAATTCTGAACCTAACGATTTATAAACAAACATTTTTTAACTCTTCAAAGTGATTATACTATCTGCTAAATTTAGGGAAAAAATTCAATACTTTTAACTAATAAAAAAAACTAAATATAATTATTTTATATTTTTTTCTATTTATTTATATGTTAAATTTTAAAAAAAGTACAATCTCTATAATCTAATCCAAGCATATCTTGTCTCATCAATTTTTTATAGGCATAAATAAAGTCGATTTTTTTTCAAAAAACAATCAAAATTTTCAATTAAAAACTCCGTCATTTTGTTAAAAATGAATTTAAAAAAAACTCAATTCGCTGCGTTGAAGTACGACAAAAACTTGGAATTTTGGTCAAATATTTTACAGGGAGGTGATAATTTTTATGATTATAAATTCCTGATCATTTCCCGGTGAAAATTTTGAAAATAATTTAATTTTTTCACACAAAAAAATTACCATTTTTCTATAAAATTCATAACTTTTTTATTTTTGAATATTAATTCTTCTAATAAATTTTAATAATGCACTACTACAAAGAAATAATTAGATACTTATTTTAAAAATACATTTTTCTAAGAAATTAATGAAACAAGATGTAATAGTCGATATAAATTTTTAGAATATCTAAAAAATTCTCGGTTTAACTATAAATTTCCCGATCATATCGCCTTTCTGTTTTGTATTCATATGACTTTAAATCTTTAAAAAGCATTGTTTTCTTAAATAAGAAAATTTTATCTGATCGTCAAGTTCTGTAAGTTGTTGGTATATTTTTATATTGCTTTATATTAATTTTTTATTATTTTCTTATACAAGCGGATTCCTCTTGTACGCATTATTATATGCATGAACAAGTGTAATAAATAAATAAATAAAAAATAAATAAAAAAAATTGTCAAATGAAAAATACCTAATAGATATTTTTAAAAAGGTTATTATTTTTCGTGTTTCAGGGTGTCTAACAAATGCTAGGAAAAAAATTCCCTGACTTTTCACTGACTTTACCCTGACCTAAATTACACTAAAAAATTTTTATTTTGATTAAATAAAATTTATTTTGGCATAATTAAATCATTTACTTGTCTATTATTCACTAATTTCATATGTACTTGAACCAAATAAATAAGGTTTTGTAAAAAATAAAATATTTAAGTGAAATAAATAAACTAATTGGGGACGTATAAATATTCTCAATATTTAATTTAAAAGAATATTTACGGCGTCGAATCTTAAATTATCAAATTTTTATTTAGTAAAATTATATAAAGCAGATTTTCTAGTACATCGAATTTCAGATTAATACAATTTCAATTTAACGGAATTTATTTCAAGAAAAATTGCATAAAGAAAAATTTTTTTATCAGAATTGTTATTTTAGTAAATTTCGATTTATCAAAATATTTATTTAACAGAATTGTCATTGAATAAATCCACAATGAACAGAATTTCTATTTAACAAAATTCTTAATTAACAAAGTTTTTATTAAAGAATATTTTAATTCAAACTAATTATTATTTAACAGAATTTTCATTTAAGAAAAATTGTGATTAGTTCTTTTTTTCTCAATTTTTCTAGACATAAATTTCGTGAAATTGAAATTTTATTAATTTAAAATTTTAAAAAAGTATCAGAAAAAATGATTTATAAGAGTTTTGCTAAACAGAAATTTTACTAAATCGAATTTTAGTTAAATGTAAATTATTCATTATGAAAATTTTGCATAATATAAAATCCTTTTTATACAATTTTTCTAAATAGAAATTTGATAATTTAATACTCGACGCCCTAAAATTTTTATAAGTTAAATGTGGATATTACCATAAAAAATAAATTATTCGTATTAATGAATAATTTACTTTATTTTAAGTTGAACCGATAAAATAAAATTGTATCAAATAATTTTTATTTATATTAAAAAACCAAATATTTCACTGAAGAAAATTAATTAATTGTTCCAGTTTAAAAAATCATTTATTAGATTCAATAAATAGTAGTAAATAATTATTTACTGAATACAAATACAAAAAATTTATAATGAGAAAAAAGATGCGCCAGGAAATTTCATACAAGATAGTAATTTGAAAAAAATTTATTTTTAAAAATTACTTTTTAACGTACCAGGGGCCAACGAATACCTATTAAATATTAATTATAAAAAAAACAGGCCTCGAATCAACTTAAAGACACAAAAAGTCGTTTCAGTCGATTTATATTCCAAAAAAAAGTGGATTTGTTTTTTATTTTAACAAAAATATTTTACAGATTTTTAAATAAAAAATTTTTTTTAATAATAATCCTTTTCGAAGGGTTAAAGTTGAAATTTTTAGAAATAATTAAATTTCAAAATATTGTTAATTTTCAAACAATTATTAAATATTACAGAACTAAAAATAATTTATCAAACAATTTTTGGAAAACATTTTTTAAATTTAATTGAATTTTCAAAGATTTAAAATTGAGATTTTTGAAATTAATTGAAACTTTAAGTGTTTTGTAATTAAAATTTTAGATGATTTCGCTAAAAATTTATTAGAAAATGCGGACAAAATACAATAATTTGAAAATCATTTTTAATTGAAAAATGGTTTCAGATAGTTGAAATTTCAAAGAATATTATTAAAATAGTTAAAAATAATTAAATATCCTTGGAGTTATAATTGAAATTACTAAATTTAAAAAAAAAAAAATTTCGATGGAAAATTTTAGATGCTTTTAAATTCAAATTATTGAAAATTGAATTAATTTTGAATTCAAATTTTTGAGAATAATTAAATTTTTTTTGATTTTAAATTTGGAAAATAAATGAATTGAAAATTTTGGGAAATAATTGAATTTTAATTGAAATTTTGGATAATAATTTAATTTAAGTTCATTTTTGATTGAAAATTTGGATAATTAATTTTGAATAGAAATTTTAGAAAATAATTGAATTTTATTTCATTTTAAATTGAAAACTCGGTAAATAATTAAATTTTAAATTGAAAATTTTTGATAATTATTGGATTTTGAATTGATTTTGAATTAAAATTTCGGGTAATAATTGAATTTTAGTTTATTTTGAATTAAAATTTTTAAAAAATAATTCAATTTTATTGTGATATTTTTTTTTAAATTATAAACAATTGTTAAATTTCATAAAAATTTTAATTGAAAAATAATTTTGATATAATTGAATTTGTGATGTATTTTATTAAAATTATTAAAAATAATTAATTTAGTGAAGAATCATTTTAGTTCAAAATTTGTTAAATAATTGAATTGAAGAAGATCTGAAGAAGATTTACATTTTATACTAAAAAAATGTATTTTATTTACATTTTTTTTCAAATGTAAAAAAACATGTCGCATTTTATTAAAATAAATCGATAAAAGTCGTATTTTTGAAAAAAGTCGGAAAAAGTCGTATAATCCGAGGCCTGTAAACATATAATTTTCATTATTATCATTTAATATGTAATAATATTCTAATAAATTAAATTATTATTGATAATATTAATCCTTAATTTCTTTATAACAAACAATTAAATATTTAATTTGGCGCGCTTGCACGCGTTTAATTTTGCTAGTTGAAATAAATAATTAATGAAAAATTAATAATCTATTTATTTTTATATGTTTCGAAAATGTTTCCTTTTTGATAGTAAACTAGGGTAAATGCACTAATTGCGGCGTGATTAGAGTCAAAACAGCTTTGAAATAGAAAATTCGACATTTTATATTGTATAAAGTCAATTTAAGATTTATTAAACTAAAAGCTTATGTTATTAATATATTTAAAAAATTTTTTAACTTTATAAAAATCGATTATTTAAACAAATATGAGAAATTAAAACTAATATTGTAATTTTCTATTGTAGTGCATTTGTATCAGTTTCGGTGACCAAAATTACGTGTATTTTGAAGATAATTTGCCCACCGTAATTGGAGCCAATGGAAATCTTAAAAATGTTTCAATTGCGGCGCGGAAAAAAATTTGATCTCAAATAATTAAATTAATAATTGTTCAAATGTGCATCTTTATAATTGTATCAAAAAAAGATTGAAATAATTTTTTTTAATCACTTGGCAACAGTTATATTAAATAAATAATAGTTATTTTTTAAGAACCCGCCGTAATTGGTACACTTACCCTAAATTCTTTTAATAATTAAAGGATAGATATAATTTAAAGGACTTTCTTTTTATGATAAAGGAAATCTGAAATATAAATATTAAAAGAAAAATCCGCTTAAAGTAAAAGGATTCCTTTAAGGTTAAATAGATTTTTTTCTCATTCTACACAATTTTTGCACATACTTAGAGCCATTCCTAATAATATTTTAGATATCTCCACAAAAATTTAGATCAATTTATTAAATATTTTAAGAATAGAAAAAATTCTCGACAAATTTAACACTGTAAATCTAACAATTACATGCTGTTAAATAGAATAAACATAAATTTAATAAAAGGCTCACTTCAAAATATACGCTTTAAGACCCATTTTTTATTAAAAATTTAATTTGAAAATATATTAGTTTCATTTATACACATAAAATTATTATTGACAAATATATAAAAAATTAGAATTTTATTTTCTTTTGAAATTCAGAAAAATTATTTAACGTTCTTTCACAGCAAAATCTTTTGAACCACGTGTTCAAAAAAGGTTAGGTTAGAATATGTTTTTGGTTTTAATGGTGTTTGTTATTAAAAAAAAAAACTTACTTCATCAAGATCTTTTTGTCTTCGTTTAGTTCTCCAACGTTTTTTTAAATGTGTATCTCCATTGTGGTACTTTTTTCGTTTATAAACCATAACGAGACACTAAACAAAATATATATTAATTTACCTTGCATAAACGTAAATAAAATTTTTCCAATAAAATTCAAAATTTTCTTTTACTTAAAACACCTGCACACATACTAACCAGTGTTGGGAAAGTAAACTACCCGAGGTTTTCCGCAACATTATATTTCACATTTCAGATCTTCTACTCTCATTCTGCGCTCCTTACCACCATAACCCTGCTTGGGTCTAATAAACATAACCTTAATTTTATTTTTAAAAAAATTGTATCAAAACAATACAAACGGTCAAAATATATAGATAGATGTAATGTTTTTAAAATAAAAAATTCTTTTGAATTTATCAGTATGTGTTTAAAATACTGTGCATTTTGCATTTTATGATACAAACACTTTAATGAATTTATATGTCAAAAATTGTCCAAAAATTCAATTGTAATGTTTAAAATTTTGAATTTAACAAGTTTTAAACTATTGTAAATAGATGTGTATTTATATATAAAGTGAATGTTTACAAAAGATATTAAAAAAAGGTTTAATGTATATATTGTGTAAATAAAAAAATGAGTGTCGAAAACGAGTGCAATTTCGCGTATAGATATAGGACAGTTCAAAAACATTTAGATGGTTTGGGTTATAAACAAACTTTACCTCTAGATGCTCTTCCACTTGTGGAAAATCTTCTTGCTGATTTAATTCAAACTACAGAAAGTCTTAAGCATTTTAAATCAGTCGCTCAAGATAATATAGAGGTTAGTTTTTTTTTGTTTACATATTGTTTTGAAAAAAAAAAATAAGTTATGAAATAAAAAAATTAATTATTTTTCAAAAATATTCTAGTCAAATTGTATTTAAATTTAGAATTATTACAAAAAATTTTTTTATAAGAATTTAAAAGTTTTATTTTTTACGTTCGTTTTAGACAATTTTTTGAATTCTTAAATTTAAAAATTTTTAAAGTTTTTTTTAATTAAAAAAAATTTAACCAATTCAAGGTGTACATGGAGAAATAAATTTTAAAATTTTTTAAAAAAAAAAACTAAAAAAATTTGTGGTTATAATTAAAAATTAAAATTACTGAATTAACTAAATTAAAAAATTAAAATCAGTTATTTTTTAAATCAGGGAAAAATGAGGAAAATTTTTTTCAGTCATTTAAATTTCAGAGAAAACACATTTTCGTCAGGAAATTTTTAAATAATTGAATATATATTTATAGAAAAAAGTTAATTAAAAACTTGATTTATGCGTAGCATTTTTTAACAATTATTTGCTTCTTAGGGGCAAAAATTAAAGAGTTTTTCAGGGAAAACCTGGAAAAGCTAGGTAATTTTATAATATATTGTTTTAAAAAACGTTGTTTCCAAATATTCTAACCATAATAAAATCTATTTTAAATTTTATCACCTATTTCACCTATTTTGATAATTTGTTACCTTTTTCATATTAATGTTTCTCGTGATTCGATTACTTTGATGAAAAATTCAAATGAATACAAATTAGTTATTTTATACATCATTTACAGGCCTTGGATTATACGACGACTATTTCTGACTTTTTTTTCGAAAATAAGATTTTTTTCAACTTATTTAAATAAGATGAGACTTTTTCGATTTATTTTACATTTTTTTTTTTACAAAATTTTTAAACAAAATACGTCTTTTTTAGTATATAATGAAAATCTTCATCAGATCTTATTTATTTCAATTATTTTTTTAACAAAATTTTTTTTTAAAATTAATTAGGTATTTTTTTTAATAATTTTAATTAAATTTTTTACAAATTCAATTTTTTAAAATTATTTTTCAATTAAAAATTTTATGAAATTCAACAATTGTTTATAATTTAAGAAAAAAAAATCAAATAAAATTGCCAAAAATTTCAATTTAAAATCTTTTAAAATTGATTATTTTTAAAATTTTCGACTAAAACTTTTTGAAATTCAATTAAGGTCAGTTGGGGTAAATTGGGACAAAATCGTTATTTTTCACAAATTACGTAAGTTTCTTCCTATAAAAGGTAATTTATTTATATATAATAATTATTATTTTAGTCTTGTAGTCAACTGCAGTTGTCTGTCAATCCATACAAATGTGACAATGCGCGATTGGTTCAAGAAAATAATGAATTACACGTAGAATTGATGCGAGAAAAGGAAGCCCATCAAAAAGAGTTGTATGACTTAAAAAAATGCTTAAGAAGAGTGGAAGTTGAGCACGGTGATTTACAACTTTCTTCATCTCGAAATCTTCAAAGAATCAAAGATCTTGAAACAGAGTCTGCCAATAAATCGAAAAAAATTCTTGAACTACAAGGAAAGTGTTGTAAACCTGTTGTCAGTAACGTTTCTCTGGGTAATTATCATTTAATAATAATTCATTTTGTTTATCATTTTTTAATTCATTTAATTAATTTAAAAAGTTATTTAATTTTTTTCTCCCTAACATGTTTCTATTTAAAACAAAATTCTGCAATTTATTGTTAAAAAATTATTTAATATCTTATCTATATAATTTATAAATTTTACACTTTACAAAATTTCTATTCGTTCGAATTTTTATTTAACATATTAGACAAAATTTCCGTGTAATCGATTTTTGGGGACGCATGATTGTTCCATAAAAATCATTGCAAATGGCTGAACTTTTGATTGGTGAATTTTAAATATTGCGCCGAAATCTTTCTAACGATTGTTTGTTCGGCCATTTACAATTTCGGACATATAAAAATTCGTATTAAAAATTCTACCAATTAAAAATTCGATATATAAGAATTCTCAGGATGTCTAACGTTCAGGGAAAGTTAGGGAAAAGTCAGGGAATTTCTTTAAATTTCTGGAATTTTTTATGAATAAATTAAAGTAACTATTAGTTTCAAAAATTTTTTACTTTTTTCTCAAAGCAAATCCAAATTAAAAAGTTGGCCTTCACACTCAATTATTATGCATTTGATATATCTTATATTCATCATTAAGTAAATAATTATTTACTACTATTTATTGAATCTAATAAATAATTTTTTAAACTTGGATAACATTTAATTAATTTTTTTCAGTGAAATATTTTTTAATATAAATAAAAATTATTTGATACAATTTTATTTTATCGGTTCAACTTGAAATAAAGTAAATTATTCATTAATACGAATAATTTATTATTTAATGGTAATATCCACATTTAACTTATAAAAATTTTATGGCATCGAATATTAAATTATCAAATTTCTATTTAGAAAAATTGTATAAAAAGGATTTTATATTATGCAAAATTTTCATAACGAATAATTTACATTTAACTAAAATTCGATTTAGTAAAATTTCTATTTAGCAAAACTCTTATAAATCATTTTTTCTGATACTTTTTTAAAATTTTAAATTAATAAAATTTCAATTTCACGAAATTTATGTCTAGAAAAATTGAGAAAAAAAGAACTAATTACAATTTTTCTTAAATGAAAATTCTGTTAAATAAGAATTAGTTCGAATTAAAATTTTCTTTAATAAAAACTTTGTTAATTAAGAATTTTGTTAAATAGAAATTCTGTTAATTGTGGATTTATTCAATGACAATTTTGTTAAGTAAATATTTTGATAAATCGAAATTTACTAAAATAATAATTCTGTTAAAAAAGTGTTTCTTTATGCAATTTTTCTTGAAATAAATTCCGTTAAATTGAAATTGTATGAATTTAAAATTCGATGTACTAGAAAATCTGCTTTATATAGTTTTACTAAATAAAAATTTGATAATTTAAGATTCGAGGCGGTAAATATTCTTTTAAATTAAATATTGAAAATATTTATACGTCCCCAATTAGTTTATTTATTTCACTTAAATATTTTATTTTTTACGAAACATTATTTATTTGGTTCAAGTCAATGAAAAGTGAGGGAATTTTTTTCCTAGCAGTTATTATAGACACCCTGATTCTGTTAAGTAAAAATTTTGTTTAAAAATAAATTCTGTTAATTGTTAATTCGAAAAATAAAAATTCATCTAAAAATTAATTATATCTAATAAAATTCTTCAAAATGAAAATTTTAACTAATGATTCTTATGGAATAATCATGCGCCCCGATTTCTGGTATTACAGAATTTCTATCGAATTTTCGTTTGACAAATCATTGATTTTTTAAAAATTAATTTCCTTCAGAAACTTTTGTTTTTTAAAAATTAACCAATCAGAAATTATCCAAAAATTTTCTTTTTATTCCTCAATTTTTCCAAATAGCATCGAAAAAACGAACTTGTTATCCACTACGAAGACCTCTCTTGGAATGTGAAATTCTACCGAAATCAAAAAGTAGCTCAACTTCATTGCAAACTGCGAGACAAGTGGAACCATATGTTGTGGATTTTGTTGCAATGGCGGATCTTAGGATGAATTGCCTTAATTATGAGGTAACAAAATTAAAAGAAGAACTTACACTTCAAACGGACAACATAAACACTTTAGAAATTCAGGTATAAATAATATTCAATTTCAAACTGTGGCATGCTGTTTTGGATTCTTCCTCTTTTTGGCTAATGCATGAAATCTTTCATCCCTATCATATTTTGATGTAGACACATATATATTTTTAAGAAGAAATTTTTATTTTTTATTGGAATATCTCCTCATTTAGAATATTATTTCAAGGTGAGATGAGCAATATAAATTATTGTATTACTTATTGATTAGGATACAAAAGTTCCAGGACAAAAATTTCGAAACGTATTTTTTCAATTGTACACATCAATGTATAAATTATTTTGTCCATTATCAAAGTATTTAATTAAAAATTAAATTTAGAAAAAAAAATGAAAGTTTTATTTTAAATAAGTAGTTAAAAAAATATAAACATGGAACTTGGATTAGAATGTTTAGTTTCTTACTTCATGATTAAGAATGTGAGACAATAATCTCTAAAATTAATTTGTTAGAATTTTAATTTGACAGAATTTCATTACTTAAAATTTACTTTTAACTGAATTTTTATTTCTTCGAATTATTACTTATTTATAAGAAATTTCATTTAACCGAATTTCTATATTTCAAAATTGTTACTTAAACGAATTTTCATTTTACTGACCTTTCATTGAATTTTAATTTAAGAGAATAGCCATTTTAAAGAATTTTTATTTTACTGAAAGAATAATAAAATGAATTTATTTCTAACAAAATTTTCATTTGACAGAATTCTTGTAATGTCGAATTTTTATTTTACAGAACTTTTATTTGTAAGAATAAATATTTGGCTAAAACATTTTGGCGCAAATTTTAAATTTGACCAATCAAAATTTATCAACGAAATTATGATTAGTTAATTTGAAAAATTGCGACTAAATTAGATTAAATTCGGTTAAATAGAATTTTTGTTCAATAATAATTTGAAGAAATAAAAAAAAGTCTCATGGATGTATTTTTGATTAATTAGTAATTTACTGGACTTATGTCTAGTTATAAATTTTCTCATTATTTATTATATTTTATTTAATTTCAATTAAATTTATCTTATTTTTTTTAAGATGCATGAAAAGTTTGTTTATAATTTAATAAATAGATATTAAAAGAAGACAAATAAATGAAATTCATAATTATGAATTTTGTCAAAAACGAATCAAAAATTATAAAAACCAACAATCAAAGAAAATAAGGCAACAAATTAATTATAATTGAATTTAAACAATTTTTCTTCTTTTGAAATCTAAAATCACTCTTACATAAATGCTTCAAAAATTATCAAAGTATTTAATTTCAAAAATTAAATAAAATTCCTTGAATTCATATTTAAAGTAACAAATTCAATTTTTGAAATTTATTTTAGCAAAAAGTTTCGGGTAATATAAAAAAAGAAAATTTTTTAACTTACGAAAAATGCTTCAAAGAACTTAAATTTAAATGTAATACCTTAAAATAAATTTTTTTTTATATCCTAATGATATTCTCTTAAAAATAATATTTAATAGTTAGCATTGAAAGAAAAGGAAATATCTCGACTGAGAAGAATGCTTGAAGGTGGTCGACCCTATAATGCAGTAGCTAAGGAATGTTCCTGTAATAAATTCGAGAAGACACATAATTCACAGGATTGTCATGAAATCGAAAATTGTGATTTAAAAATTTTATTAAAAGCAAAAACTGATTTGGAACATCAATTGAAAGGTTCGAATAGATTACATTTTTAAAAATCACTTTCTTTACTTGAAAACGTAAATATATTTATTAGGGTAATTATACCTTTTTGGAAAATGTTCAGTAAGATACCTTAAACAAGTGCAAATTGGTAAACTTACCCATCTTTATGTGGTTTGAATTATTTTATAATACATAATAATTTACAGAAGCATTAAATAAACAACATGAAGCAATGTCTCAAGCGCTAAAGTTAGCGGAACGAAATGAAGAATTAGAAAAAGAATTAAGGGATATTGATCACATTGCATTGTCTGTTGAAGCTGATTGTAATACAGCAGTTAAAGAAAATAATCGAAGAGTTTGTAGATTACAGGTAAAAATTGAAATTTTTTTTTCAACAACTAAACCATACAATTATTCCGCCTGCTTTATTTATTCTTAAAACAAAAAAAATTTACAGAAAAAGTCAATTAAATTTTTCCTGTATGTTTACCTTTTTTTTATCTATTTAAAATTTTGTCACTTCTTTCACGTATTTTGATAATTTTTTATCTTTTTCACCATTCTCATTATTTGATTAATTCTAAATTCAATCTAAAAACATGTTGAAAAATAATTTATTAGTTTAAAAAATTTTGTTTCTAACATTTTTGAACTTATATTAATATTTGGAGGACACAAAATCACACATTTTCATCATTTTCTATAAATGATTCACTTGATATAAGCTTGAATTTATCAAAAAATTTTCATCAATTTAAAAATTATTCAGACCAAATTTTAATAAATATAAAAAATATAAATTAATTGAAACTATAAAATATAAATCAATTAAAAATTCAATTTATTCAAATTTGAATCTGTTTAAATTTTAATTTATCGAAATTTCGATTTAATTAAATTTTATTTGATTCAAATTTTAATCGATCCAAATTTCAATTCAATCTAAACTTTTAATTTAAATTAATCCAATTTTCAATTACATAATTCTAATTTTTATTGGTTAAAACAAATTTATTAATTAAAATTACAAATTAAAATCCAAATTTTTATTTATTTTTGATTTAAATTATCCAAATTTTCATTGATTTAAGTTTAAAATTTTTTTGAATTTTAATTGATTTTAGTTTTAAATTATCCGAATTTTTATTTATCTGTTTAAATTCTAATTGATTTAAGTTTCAAATTATTTAAATTTCAATTTATTCAAATTTTGACTGATTTAAATTTCAAATTAGTTATTTTAGTATGTTAATTGGTTTTAACTTTATCAGTTTATTATCACCTTTTTTTCGCCTATTTCAGGTAAATAATTGACCTTTTTTTTTAGTGAAGAAAGTGAAATATAGTAGGAAAACACGTAAATTATTAGATTCATATTAAAATTCATTAAATTTAATAAACTAAGTTTATCAAGAAAAATTTTTTAATGTCAGAGAAATTGAAAAATTTATTCTTTCGGCAACCCTGTATATTTACAATTATTTATTCATTTGTAAAATATTTCTAAATGTAACTTTTCATTTTATAAAATGTAATTCTATTTTTAAAAATTATTTTAACTCTTAGGAAAAATTGAATGAAGTTTTAACTCAAGTCCATGCATTGGAATGTGAATTAGCAGAAGAAAGACGAAAGGTACAGGAATTAAAAACTGATTTAGGTGCTAGTCGACTTGAAAAATTGGATATTCAACAAACACTCGAATTCACTTTAGAAGAGAAAAAAAATCTGACCGATCGTATTAATCAACTCACAGTGATTGGTAATAAATAAATTTTAATTATTCTATTCTATCATTATATGTAAAAAAATTGGATTATTTCTAATTTTTCATATTCTTACTTTATTATAAAATACTTTATTCTATGGATTTAATAATGATTATATTTTAATAATTTAATTTAATAATTGATTATATTTTATTTCATAACTGTTTTAATCAATCTCTTTAATTCTTGATCTGTAAAATTGAAAAGTATAATAAATTTTTAGCAACAAGAAATGAAAAATCGAAAGAACATATTTTTAATGAAGAGGAAGAAAAACTAAAAAGCAGGAACAGAGAAATTTCTAATGACGTTCAAAGGATCCTTTATGAAAAAGAGTCTAATATTGTTAGTGTAAGTTTTTCAATATGAAAAGGAATATTTTATAAATAATAATTTAAAATAAATTTTTTATGGGGCATTTTATATCATACTGTTCCTCCTTCAAAAGACGATCTGAGGGAAGGTATTATTTAAATAAATATTATGAACACCAATTAAAAGAGCATTAAATTTTCATTCTCAAATTAGTGTATAATATATTATGAATAATTTAATTTTTATTGAATAAAATTTAATTAAAAAAGCTCTTGTTGAAATTGTCTTTTATAAGAGAAACAGTTTAATATAGAATGGCTCTTATATAAAAGTAGAAATTAAGTAAACTTAAATCTAAACTATAGTTTAAAATTAAACTTTTAGTTACAGAACAAATTAATTAATTTAGAAGCAGAACGTGATTACTTCAGAGAAGAATACAATAAATGTCGAGATCAATATAGTAAAGAATCCAGAAATGAAAACGTAAGAAAATTTATTTTCATTATTATTTTTCTAGAGGAAGAATCCAATTTTTCAAGAAATTATAGTTTAAAATTGAAACATTTAAAAAAAATTTTAAATGACAATTGTTAAAAACTAGTAATTTAAATTTAATAGCAAATAATTAGAATAATAATAATAATTACTAATAATAATAATTCTTAAAAAAGAAAGATAATACACTTCTGAAATAATACAGTAAAATAGAATCATCTGGTGGATTAAAAAAAAAGTTTAAACCCTTTTTTTATTTTATAAAGGCAACAGTGGAAAGGTTACAACGTGAAAGAGATGTGGCGAAAGGAGATGTTGAACGTCTTGTCGAAGAGCGTGACGCTTTACGTGAACGATTGAAGGTAAAAATTTTCATTTTATTAAAGATTGGAAAATGATTGTATATTGCTTGTTGTTTTCACACTTAATAATGTTCATTGAGAGGACTTAGATTACGAATACAAAAATGCACCAATAAATGTAGAATAGTTTACAAGTAGCATTTTGAATTTAATTTCTCTTTTGTTGCATGCAAAATATTTTTACACTTTTTTAAAAATCTTTAATTAACGTGCAAACAAAAATCTGATTTTATTTATATTCGATTCTACGTGAAGTGATTCAGGATAAATTTTGGAACATTTGGGATCAGGTTAAATGTTTACTCAAACTTTACTACTATAAAAAAACAACTTCAAATGCCAAAGACTATTAATTTATTTAAACAAATGTAAGATCTGTTGGGGATAAAAGTTTTCAACATTTGTCTAACATCCCTGTAAAAAATGTTGGATAATATTCAATAAGTTAAGATATTTTTCTTCAAAAAAAATGTATAGGTCAAGAAGGGGGACAAGAACTTTTAAGTGGTCAAATTAAGTAATTATTATATTTAAGCATGTCCCGTTAATAAATAAATGAAATTTCAATAAATCAAATTCTTATATTTTAATTTTCGTAAAAAGTACTTAAATAAAAATATTTGTAATGTCCTTCCATGTCGAAGATGAATTTGAAAGTTAGTATAAACTAAAATAAATAAAAAATCGAAATAAATATCTGTCAGTGTTAGTCCATTGACTGAAAGTAACTCTAAAAATTTTTTTATTCTTGAAATAGAGTTCCAATTCTGTCATGACAAATTAGACTCCAGGACAATTTGACAAGAAACTACTTCATGGTCTGTAGTATTTGAAGTTGTTTTATACAGTACTAAAGTTTGTGTAATCTTTTAACATGGTACCACACGGTGCGCCAGAAGGTGGTTTAAATAAAAATGAAATGGCACTTAAAAATTCTTTTTGATTATGGTTCTAAGATGAATAAAAAACTTTTCTCAATAGGTTTTAAAATCAGCTTACGTGCCCAATTTAAAACAAATTGAGTTTTAAATATTTAAAAATAGTATTTTATGAGGAACCAGAATTTATTTAATGTATACTTATATGCGTATAGATAATAGATGTTTTAGATTTGGGTTCATATAGATTTATTAACAATGAAGTTATTTTCTTGTTTCGTTTTTATATTTATGCATTAAGAGTGTCGAACGGTATCTGAAATTCTTTGGCAAGAAGAGAGCTTTAATTATCGCTCTCAACGTGAAATAGTATTGATTTTAAAATACTTTTTTTCTCGAAACATGAACACTTTTAACAAAATCAGCCAAAATCCTCATCTTATAAATTTCCTAAATCCAAAAGACTGTACGAATCCATAGAAAAACATGGTTGCAAAACAAAAAGTAGAAAAGTAATCTAATAACAGCTGCGACTTTGTGCGCCCTGCATGCTGCTGCCATCTGACTGCGGCAGGAGGTAATGTACCTGTCATTATATTACTTTTCGTTTTGCAATCGTGTTTTTGTATGAATTCGCATAATCTTTCGGATTTAGGAAATTTATATAAGATAAGGATCTCTAGCTGCTTTTCTAAAAAGTGTCCGTATTTCGAGAAGAAAGTATTTTAAAATCAATGTTTATCATTTTCACGTTTAGTGCCGTTTTTATAAAGCGATAATTAAAGGTCTCTTCTTGCCAAAAAGTTTCAGAGATCATTCGACTCTCTTAAATAAATTTTGTCACTCTTAAAATCGTTCTTTTAACATTATAATTTAATTTTTTAAAATCGGACACAAACACTACAGCAATATAATTATTTATATGTAAATTTGAAAATAAGTAATTATTTTATCATTTATTACAGTATTAATTAGATTAAATAAATTCTGATTCCCCATAAAACACTGTTTTTATATAAAAACTCAATTTTATTTAAATCGGGCACGTAAACTGATTTTAAAAACTATTGAGAAATGTTTGTTATTCATCTAAGAATCATAATCAAAAAGAATTTTTAAGTGCCAATTCATTTTTATTTAAACCACCTACTGACGCACCGTGACCAGATATTCCAAAATTTGACCTGAATCACTTTACGTGGAACCCAACATATATAAATTGGTGATTAAAATATTTTCTTTAATTTAAAAATAATTTAGCAATTTAGACAAAAGCCTAGTAAATGTTTCTTGTCATCTTACAAAATACCTGCAAAATAATATTATACTTTAGTTTTAAACATAAGTTTCTATATATTTTCAACTAATATTAGATTTTAATATTTTTTTTGTAATTGCTAGTTACCCATGTTTTGGTTTTATTAAAAAAAAAATACAATATATTTGTCATTACGACAAAAATATTAATCCTGGAAAACACAACATAAGTGGCTCATACGTAAACGCACAACTGGGTTAAAAAACCACCCCAAAATTGTTTCATTGCTGGAATGTTTGTATTTAATGCAAAATAACTTTATTATATGGCATTTTCTTCGTTTTTTTTTGCGAAAAAGGCCTTTTTATTGGGCAAAAAGTTAAAGTACACTTTCTTGTTATCCTAATAATTAAAAAAAAATACAGGTATTAAAAAAAATTATTTTAATTATTTAATAAAATTCGAACTTAAAGGTTTTACTTTACGTCGTTAAACTGTTATTAAATATTTGTTTCATAAACAATTTTCAATAAAGGCCAGGTCCAAGTGAGGCAGCGCCATCTACATTGATACAAAAATTTTGGAAAATTTTCAACAGCCTTTTCTTGAAAATAAGATGGTAAAATGCTTTTTTCTTTATGGATAATTGATTATTGGCAAGATATATACCAGCTAAAACTTTTTTTGAGTTAAAATAATAAAAAAAATTTCATGTCAATAAATTAAATATGAGCACTTTTTTCACAAAAACTGTAACAGTACTTTCTCAGAAATTACAATCAAAAATGCAATTTCCATTTGGAAAATTAATAAACGCTAAAAAATACACGACCTAAGATTTACCAATCACGAAAATAACAAAAAAAAAGTATTTTAACATAACATATTTTACTCATTATGACAGCCGTTTGGCAGGTTATATATGTCACCAGACGTTTCGCAGTTTTGCCGAAAGGAGAAGATTGGCGCTGTTGCTAACCACCTGAAATACATAATCTACCAAAGGGCTGTCACAATTGGCGATTCAAACAGCTACACTAGCGCCACAGTTGAACTAATTTAGGCGTGACTCGCTCTAAAGCAGTCTCTGTTTTGACAGTTTATTTCAAATTATTTAATTATTCTGATATTTTTATTGCGTTTGTAAAATTATTTTTAAGCGTTAAATAAAAAAAAATAATTTAAAACACATGGAGTGCTACAGAGCGAGTCACGCCTAAATTAGTTCAACTGTGGCGCTAGTGTAGCTGTTTGAATCGCCAATCAGTAAAGCAGTATCAATATGTTAAATATTTAATAAAATTTTTTTTTGTTATTCTCGTGATTGGTAAATCTTAGGTCGTGTATTTTTTAGCGTTTATTGATTTTCCAAATGGAAATTGTATTTTTGATTTTAATTTCTGAGAAAGTACTGTTACAGTTTTTGTGAAAAAAGTGCTCATATTTAATTTATTGACATGAAATTTTTTTTATTATTTTAACTCAAAAAAAGTTTTAGCTGGTGTATATTTTGCCAATAATCAATTATCCATAAAGGAAAAAGCATTTTACCTTCTTGTTTTCACGAAAAGGCTGTTGAAAATTTTTCAAAATTTTAGTTTCAATGTAGATGGCGCTGCCTCACTTGGACCTGGCCTTAAAGATAAAAATTACTTATTTACGTAATTAACTCGCTTCATTGCCAAAATCAATTGTTAGATAGCTATATCGAATTATGAATAGGATGCCGCCATGACAGTTGAGCAGAAAGAGCCAGGAGAGCTTAGTTCGAAATTTCTTTGGAAATTTTTCTACCCCAGTTGTGCTTTCTTATGTTAATGCACAAAGTAAGAATAAAGTTACTTCACTATACACGAAAATATGCTTTTCCCAATGTTTTATAATGACTTTGTTAGGCATGAAACACGATAAACTGCTTTTTTTGTGTTTTTGAAGGTTAGGGACGGAACATAATTTTTTCAGGTAAAATAAATATTAAATTCGTGTTCATCGATAAAAGTTACACGAAAATATGCTTTTCCCGATATTTTATAATTACTTGGGTAATCATTAAATTGATAAAACCATTCTTTTCGACACTTATAACCGCCATATTGGTCTGCCATATTGGGTTTTTAAAAAAATTTGCGTATTCATATGCCTTAAAATACTTGAACCAATTTTTGACAGTGGAGAGTCTCCCATTGACAGAGAATGTTTTATGCTATGTTTTATTGCTCCTTTTTAAAATCCTTAAAAAATTTTCAATTTATTATATTAATTTTAATTATATTCTTGTTCCATACTATTTATTATAACTAGCCTCCTTCAATTTAATTTTTTCCGTTTATATTAAATTTTATTATTTAATGAAGTTTAAATTGAATATTCATCTATTTTATAAAAATCTCTTCACTTGTCTATATAAATTAAAATTTTCTTATTCATATGGAAAACAAAATTTTCACTATTAAACATAATAAGAATAATCATATAATTCGTATTATAAAAAAATTATATAAATTAATTTCATTTATTAATTAAATGAATAAAAATTATTTAATTCTAATTTTCCGGTATACTGTTATAGCGAATAGGAACAGTCTTGGCTTTAATGTAAAGTCTCCTTATTTTTACTTTGTGGATTAATGTTACGCTTGATTAGTAAAGTTTTTGACTTTGGTGGTTGTAATTTTGACGGGCTTAGATGGCTACAGAATCACATTATTCTGCGCAACAAAGGTTAAGGGAAAATCTTCACGATGTAGAAAGACGATTGAAATATATTGAATGTGAAAGACAAGAACTTATGACAACACAGGGTACCAAACGCGCAACGATCAATGGTCTTGAGGATCAACTCGAAGACTTGAGGGAGGAACTCAAAAGGACAAAACAAGAGTTTGCGGAACAAAGGACACAATACTTTCAATTGAGGTTTGTTCCACTTTTAATATATCTATTATATTTATTGGGGTTTCAATATTATTTATTTCTAAGACTCAACAATATTATCTTTTTTGTTTTTCATTCCTCGTCGTTATTTCACAACTTTTGAATATTGAAAGTTAATTATTTAATTTTGTACTCCAATCACATGTAGGAATATTCTAAATAAATACGTTTATAGTAAATATTATTTTAATTGTAAATTCAAAAATAGTTCGATTTTTCAAAAAGGATCAAGAAAATTAATTTGAAATTAAATATAAATTTTGATCCTCCTTTGTATCGAATAATATGGTAAAATTAATTAATTTCGGTACCTATGTCGTTGACTTTAACTTAATTTAATAAAGAATAAATAAAATTTTTTCTATTAAATAAATCTATTGAAATACTATTTCAAGGCCTTAAAACGTGTTTTTCCTTTGATTTTTAATGTTGAATATATTATTTTTATAAATGTCACGCAGAGCGTTGCAAGATCAAACGGATCAAGCCCTCGGAGATGTGCAGGGTCAACTCTCTCAATCAGAGACTGAACTGGCTAAGGCTATAGATCGCAATCGAAATATGGAACAGCAACAAATTGAATTTACAAATCAAGTCAAGGACTTGAAACAAGAGATTAACAATTTACACACCAGCATGGCACAAATAGATCACGAAAAAGACCAGTTACTAGTAAGATTTCTGACGGATTACATCTCTTAATTATAAATTAAATTTTTTTCAATAAATATTTTATCTCTTTTTTTTTTTAAAATATCTGCTGTCACTTTTATAATTTTTTATATTTTTATTGAAGGTCTTTTCTTAGAATTTACGAGAATTCGAAATAATCTTCATTGTGAATAATAATTGCTACTAATTTACATTAAAATCTGTTGAAAAGTCATTTGCTATTTTAACTTATATAAAATTTGTCGATTTGCAATCAGGCAAAAAATGCGAAGAAATTAATGAAAATTAATAAGTTCATTTTAATCTTTTTATAGATGGTTCTTGATGAAAAGACGGAAAAAATTGCTGCTTTAGAGCGAGAATTACAGTCTAAAGAGCAACAAATGCTGAATGCAGAGCAACAACTTCGCGATTTGCAGCACAAAAATCAGTAAGTTTTTTAATTATTCATAAAAAGTTCCATATTTTTCTACATTAAAATATCGCTTCATTTTAACGTGATTTAAAATTTAAAATTAATTTAAAATTTATTCCATTTCATATGAATTAGAGGCGCCTGATTATCTCATAAAAATAATTAATGAAACAAAATTCACAATTGACAGAATTTTTTTTTCAAACAAATTTTTACTTTACTTAATTTTTATTTGACAAAATTATTATTTTACAGAATTTTTCTTTACACAACCTTTTATTTAAAATAATTCTAATTTAACCGAAAATTTTTAGCATAATTCTTATTCTGCAGAATTTTAAGTTATTTGAATTTTTAAATATTAGAATTTTCAATTAACCTAATTTTCATTTGTAGAAATTTTTATTTATGAGAATTCTTAAAGCGCAGAATTTTTATTTGTCCGAAATAGCAAATGTCCAAACAAACAATAGTCAGAAAAATATGCGGTAAAATCTTTCTGTCAATTTTTTTTCGATTATTTGCAATTTTGGATAAATTGAAATTCAACGTTTTAGGAATTCCATCAAATAATAATGCGTACAATCAAAAATTCAGATAAATGAAGATTCGTTGAACTGGAAATTCTGGTATTTAAAAATTCGAATATCTTAAAATTCTGTTAAAGAAGAATGAAGCTAAATTAAATTTTGGTTAAATTAAAAATTTTTTTTAATAAAAAGTTTGACAAAGAGAATATTTGTGTAATATAAAAATTGTGCACAATGAAAATTCTGTTAAATGCCAATTCGAAAAATTAAAATATTATATTTACTATTAATATTTATTAAATATTACATTTAATATAAAATGAAAATTCTAAGTAACTAACGATTTTTATGGGATAATTATCCGCCCCGAATTAGAAATACTATTTTTTTAATTTTAACTTTTATTGATGAACCGAACTCGATTTAAAAGTGAAAAGTTGACAAGGAAAAGGTAAGCAAATATAATACTATTCGATTTTTTAATTTAAGACGCAATGAATTTAAAATAGAATTAAAATAAAATCCAACAACAATTCATAGATTTAACAACCATTTACTTTTTTTCTTCTCTTTTTTACATTAATATATACATAATATAATGTAAAAATTAATCTCTTTTCACAAAAATGTGAAATGCGTCCAATGCTATTTACAATAATATACAATTATTATTTTCAATTTGCCTTAATATAATTTAACAAGTTTCATTTTAAGAATCGTATGCGTAATCTCTGTTTAATTTTTTTTTGTTTTTTAATAAAACTGTTTTTTAAACATAATCAGTCAAAATAAAAAAATTTACTTTTTAGAACTGAAAGTTAATTTCCTAAAATCATACATTAACTTTCATTCAATTGTCAATTATTCTTGGCTTTTTTATCTGTATAATTTTAAATATCTATACTGCAATGCATTAAGTTATATCAAAAAATTTTATTTCAATATTGAGATTTTTTTTAAAATTCTCTTCATATTTTTGGAAGATTCACATTAATTATCATCAACTGATGCAAATTCAGTTCGTAACGATTAAACATTTGGCACAATTTTATTTTATAAAATAGTTGTGGAATATCAAAATAAAATTATCGACATTTCAAACTACTTCTATATTTGAGTATTAATGAGAATTTTATATTGTTATTCTACCACTATTTTAAATTCTTGTTCCTATAAATTAAAATCCAATTGATCTCACTCGGGCATTTAAAAATCTAGCAAGACTAACCGCAGGAGGTTGACAACCACCTGGAGAGACGAGATTATTTTTCTCCAGGTCGGTAGTTTCATTTTCACTGATTCTCGTGTATCCAGGTTGACATTCACATCTCGCTTTAGGAATCTTATCCTTCTGCCAAAAATCACCTTTTGGAATTCTTTGAGCGACAAGCCATTCACCCTCAGTGCATGGGCCTTGAGTATAAAGTTTGTAGCACGTATTATTTAGCAGTGCTGAACCGGGAAAATCCTCACAGTTTAGTGTTGTATCCTCTGAACATTTACCAGTGTTCTTAAGAACATTGGTGCAACCACAAACTCCTCGATAACTGATTCCGTCGATAGATGGCCTTGTATTGTAGTCATAAAGTACAATTTGCTCACTTGGACATGGTCCCCTTGATCCTATTTTATAGCACGTCTTTTCCTGAGGAAAATAAAGTCTTCCACGTCTGAAATAATAAATATAGTATAAGAAAATTAATACATTAATTATTTAATATAAATAATATAAAAATAAAGTTTTCATACATCACAATAGTATTTTTTGTATATAAATAAAAATATAGAGAAAATAAAAACATAATTCCCTTCCAAATCTGTAATTTGTAAAGTAGTAAATTCGATCAACAGGAAGGTAAGAAACATAAAACAAGTTTATGTAATTTTTTAAAGTTTTCGACGTTTCAATGGTGTGGTTTACCATCAACCTCAGGCTAATTTATTTAAAAACACAAAAATTAACAAAATACAGAATACAAAACTGATAACACAATTTAAAAAAAATTAATAGTATAATACCTAAATATTAAAATATACTTTACATAGCAACTAATCAAAGATTAAAAATACTTTTATAAATAAACAAAATTTTAAAATAAATTAATAAACGCAAAACATAAAAGCACACGACGAAAGCCGTTATTTCGATACAACAATAAAGTCAAAACTGAATTTAATATTGGAAAAGACCATCTCCGTTAAGTTATGTAGTCAATGTACTCAAAAGTTCTAGCTCCAGTTTTGCAAGTACAGTAGTATCTTAGTATTAATTCATTTTCTTCATCATTGTTTCTAAGCACAAAGGCTATAAATATTTGATATTTAGTAGCATTTCTGAAACGAGAATAAATCCGTACTCTAATGAAGCCAATTTCATTCAACATTTCGTCAATTTGGAATTCTTCATTACATTCCCTGAGAACTTTGTCATGAATGTAACCAGGTGAAATACTTACTTGATAGACTCTAATCGTTAGGTTTTGTAAGTAATGTAGCGAAAGTCAAGGGAAGTTTGTTTATAAGAATTCTTATTGAACCGAATTTTGCCTGAATCAAATTTTTAAATACCACAATTTTTATTAAACCAAATTTTCATTTGTCCGAATTTTTATTAACACAAAATGTCATTTAATAGAAATCTTAAAACTTAGAATTTTCATTTATTCTAGATTGCAAAAGGTCGAATAATCAAACAGCAGAAATATTTCGGCGCCAATTTTAGAATTGACCATTCAGAATTTTCTTAACAGTTTCTGATAAGTCAATTTTAAAAATGGCGCCGAAATATTTCTGCCGTTTGATTATTCGACCTTTTGCAATGTAGAATAAATAAAAATTCTAAGTTTTAAGATTTCTATTAAATGACATTTTGTGTTAATAAAAATTCGGACAAATGAAAATTTGGTTTAATAAAAATTGTGGTATTTAAAAATTTGATTCAGGCAAAATTCGGTTCAATAAGAATTCTGATAAATAAAAATTCGTGTTAAGAAAAATTCTTTTGAATAAAAAGTGTGCTAAATTGAAATTATGTTAAAAGAATATTTTGTTAAATAAAAATTTGATTACATAAAAATTCTGTTAAGTATAAATTCTAGTTAATTTAAATTCTATTAAACATTAATTCGAAAAACACAAATTCGAATAAAGTAAAATTTTATCTAATAAAATTCTATGAAATGAAAATTCTAAATAATTCACATTATGGAATAATCATGCGCCCCTTTAATATGACTATTTCTCGCCTCTACTATCCACCTGGACTTTGTAATCAGCATGGATTCATTTGCATCAATAGTATCAAGTTGACGTTGACCCCGTTCAAGAAATGCTGGCATCCTATGACGAATTCCCAAGTTTTCTAGTAATGGTAAAACATCTCTATAACCATGATCAACAATGCCAACATTACCTTCTCTAAACCATTCTCGAAGACCTGCATCATCGTTTTCCAATTCATTTGCAAGCATTGCTGCATCATTATTTCGAGAGTCTGAGAAATGCGGACCATGAATGTCTAAAATGTATCCGTTTGGGGCAACAAGTAAGGCTGGCTTAATTAAATGACGCCCTTTGTGAACAGAGTAGGTTTGCCTTAACGCTTAAAAGTTACTTCTCTTATGCGTGTAAACGTCAGTTTTATCGATGACTACAATTGCAACAGGAACATCAAGATTGGGATTATAGAGTGTTTGCAAAATCAGTCACATGATTTTCGATAAATTGTTCTCGAGTAATCGTGTTTATTTGAATATAATTCACCGGACACTAAGATAGCAGAATTGACACTTGCCCGATACAACTAATTCAAAATTTAAAGATGGCTAAGCTTAAAAAAGGTCATATTTAATGCAAAGGAACTTACCTACAAGGTACAGGGACACACGTTGTCGAATTTACTAACATATCTCCACTTTGGCACGGTCCTCGAGTATACACTCTGTAGCAAAATCCATTTTTATATGGTACATGACCTGGTTTGCAGTGACATGTTGCTTGAAGGGGTTTATCGTAGACTTCTGTTTCAATTTTTTGATTGACGACAAAGTGTTGACCAGGCAAACACGGTCCAATCGTACCTAAAATTAAAACCAATAACTATATCAAACGAAATTTTTTTAATAAAAAACGTCTAGGTGATTAAAATCATTTTATGTTTATATATTTACAAATTGAAATATACACGGAAAATTTTATTTATCTTTCAAAAAAATTAAAATGTAAAGAAATGGGAAAATCGCGACTCAATCAACCTTTTCACACAATAACGATAAAAACTAGCTAAATAAATAAAACAAATATAAAAATACAATCAATAAATAAATGTAACGTGATGATTAATGAAGAATATAAATAATGATATAAATGGAAAGGTATATGAAAATGAAATATATAAATTGTATATTTTATTCGTAAGTTATGTACATATAATAAAGTAAATTATAGATTATAAAATACCACAAGACAGTGACACTAAATATTAAGACGAATTTTTGTTAGTATAAAATATATTGACTTTTAAGAAGATTGAATCCTTTCACCATATATTATCTGATTGATTAATTTTTTATAATGCTGCAAGAAAAACAAAGAATTACATACCCAATGGATAACACATTTTTGTCGGTGCGTAATAGTGAGGTAGATTAGAATGACATCCACAATGACCTCCTGGTAGAAATAATTCTCCTGCTTCAGAGCATGGCCCTTGAGTATAGTGTTCAAAACAACCTCCCCTTTCGGCGGGCCAATAATATCTACTTAATTCTCCTTGCTGAGAACATGAACAGATAGCTAGGCCATCTTGACCAATTACCAAAAGCTCTCCTTTTGGACATGGTCCTCTTGTTAGTTTTGAATAACAAGTTTCATCTCTAGGCCAATAGATGTTACCCTTTTCTGGACAGGATTCTGGTTCTCTGCACACGCCCCATCTTTTTTTTGAGCTAAGCACGATTAAGAAAAATTCATTAAATGAATGATAAACAACTTTATGAAAGGAGAACAAAAAAACTGGATAATTAAAATTTTTTAAGAAACCGAAACAGTAAATATCAGTAAGCAAATGAAAACTAATTTAGTGGAATTGAAATGGATATACCCTGGGCTAAAGTTCAGTGAATCACGCTTAGTGACAAATTTGAATTGAAGCTATGTTGCAATTCTCCTGAATTCGACAAAGCTGTATTCAACCTTGCCAAAAAAGTTAATTCATTTTAATTCATCTGAATTAGTTATTAGTTTTTAATATTCATTCTTTATATAAATTACGTTAATCAAATAATATTCTTCTATTAGATTCACTAGAAATATTAAAGTAACAGTTTATTCAAAATTACTTTCCCAGGCTACTATTCTGAAGGATGTTAAAAATTTTGATGAAAGTTTAGAAAATTTTCATGCCATATTAAAAGTAATTAATTTCAACATATAATTACTTAGTTTCTGGTACTGGAGCGAAAAATTGACCTGCTGGACAGGAAGCTCTAGTAAATATTGGATGGCAGAGCTTATCTCTAGCTGATTGAGCAGTTCCTGGCGGGCATCTACATTCTGCTATAGTACCTCCACCTTCAGCAGATGGTCCCAATTCCATTGTTTTTGGGCATGGTGCTCCAATCTATAAATATAACAAAAAGCATAAGAGGTTAAGTATGCAAAAATTGCCCCCGCATATATTTGGCTCATATTGGCCCCATGTATTGCTACCCGAATGAGTATCAAATTCTAAAAAAAAAAATTTTCAAAAAAAGTCAAAAAATTTCAATTTTGAAATTAAAAAAAAAATTTTTTTGAGGTTATTTTTTGAAATTACACCTACAATTTTTTTTAAAAAAGTAACTTATAATATCCCCTTTAACATATATTGAATTATGTGAGCAATAAATAAATTTTTGTAAATATAGATGACATTTCATGAGTTTTTTTTATCACTTTTCGGAGTAACCTTTCCAAATTAAATGAAACTTTTTTTAAAAATATTTATTAATATAAAGGTCCAAAATAAGCATTTTTTATGTAAAAACAATTGTTTATTTAAAAAATACAACAATAAATAATGAAGAAAATTCACATTTTTCTGCTCCACCAAATAAATTGGTTTAAAGATAAAAATTTTCCTTATTTTTCAAGCTTTAGTACCGCACAAGAAAAATGAGGTGATTCGAAATAATTCACTCACAATTTATTAATTAAACAATGTTTGTTTTCTATTTTGTATTATATTTATTCTTAAAATCAGATCAGTAGTTATCGAGAAAAATGAGTTTTTTGATATTTCTTCCTCCCTTCATAACTTTCAAAAAAATTTGAACTTTAAGTTCACAATTTTAGAATTTTATACTCATCTGGGTAGAAATACATGGGACCAATATGAGCCAAACATGTGAGGGGGCAACTTTTGCATACTTAACCCCCTATGCCCTTTGTGACGGGAAAGTATTTCTTGACGTGAATTCAATAAATAAATCAAATACTCTCGAATACAGATTAGTTGACTAGCCTTTTGACAAATAATTACTTATTTATTTATTTATTTAACATTATTACCCGCGATCCAATTGGACCATTAATGGGCAACTACAGTACATAGCTTATATCATATTACAAAAATTGGAATTAACTAAAAGAAAAGGAACAAAGTTAATACAATGAGTTTAAGTGTAAGTACGCTGTTCAACAGTTAGGAAGTCAAAGCGCAAACATAAGTCAATGTAATTTGATCCTTGGGGAGGATAATGCTTTTCAATTTTAAAAATGAGGTATTTGAGAAATTTCTTCTGAATATCTTCCAAGTAATTACTATTTGTCAAATTGAGAATTAGCAATAAAAGACGCATAATCAATTTTAGATCGAATAAACGAGTTAAAAAGTAGAATTAAAGTTTTTGGTAGATGGAAATTCTTAGAAGTTCTGAAAAGACAACCCAAACCTCTCGATGCAAATGTAACTAAGGACGTACACATCATGCCTGAACCAAAAAAAAGTTTGATTAAAATGGATCCAAAATCGTGTTTTTGGGGATCATTCTACATCATATCAGAAGAAAAATACGTTGAGATCAAAATCCTAGCTGCTACTTTTTTCGAGATATCGGTATTTTCGTTTATTTAATTTTGCGAATATTCTAAAAACACTCAGTTTGGAACTTGTAACTACATGTAGGCAAACAAATCTTACAAAAAGTATCTTAAATATATTTTTTATATGTAATTACATGTAAAAACCTTTAAAATAAAAACTCAATGAAGAAAATTGGTTAATATTTGTCAATATATTAGGTTTTTTTATATTGAGCTTAATTAAGAGTCGATTTTGAATTTTTTTGATATTTTAGGTCATACCTATTTCAAAACCCTTTATATTTATGTTAAATATATTTTTTATATTTTAATACTTTTTGCACAACAAATTAATTTATATGATTTAGAAAGAACGAAACAAATTTTTTTTTACAATTGGTAGAGAATGATATTCGTAAAATATCATAAGCAAAACAAGAAGTTGAATAATTTTCAAACTAAACAATAGATTTAAAATTTTGAAACAAAAATGTATATAAATGGATATCTTGCATGAACTATAATAATCAGTATAATACAACTCACTTAAAAGTAACGAAATAAAAATTCGACAATTGTTATAAAAATATTTCCTTATGCTCTCTAATTTTTCAGGGAATAATAATTCTAAATTCGTCGTTCCCATTCATTTGTTTTGTCCTGTTATAACTGTCTGTCTTTAAAATCCCTTTAACTTTAATTAAATAGCCAACTTTGGATTCTGCAAAAGAACCCCAAAATACGTTTTTAAAAATAATCAAAATTAATACCGTCGTTTTCTACATCAAAATTTTCATTCTCATTAAGAATTCTTTCGACTACATTCGAACACGTTTCGCATTCGCAGGTGGTTCTTTTACAGCCTTTTCACATTTGCAGGTAATTTTTTTCAGTAGGTCTTGCGGAATCAACGTGTCATCCGTTTAAACCGATGGCTGTAAATCTCTTGCTGTTGCTTTCCACCCCCATTAAGTTTTGTCCTTTACATTTCCAAGCCATTCTTGCAATTGAAAATAGTTTCTAAAGGAATGTTGTATAGTTGCACCTTCCGTCGGTAGTAAGCTTTCCAGTTTGACATTTCGTTTTATTGTGGATTTTTGAAAATGTAAAAAACGCAACTCTTGGAGGTTTACATTTTCATTTTTTGTTGCATACATTTTAGCAATAATTTCTTTTCCACATCTGGCAATTTTTTCACGGTCTGCATTTTCATTATAAAAAGTCGTTGCTAAATTTTGCAAATATTCATCGTTTTTCATTATTTTTAATAATTTACTTTTCCCTTGTCTGAAAAAACAGGAGGTTGTGTCACATCCCAGGAAGATATGCAGAAACGAAATTATGGGCTTTAAATTTTCATATTTGAAACTATTTACTTTAGAAATTTCATCAGATCCACGGCTTGCGCTGCATTTAACAAAAAAAAAGTTTTCAATCAAAGGAGCAATTTGAGTTAGCATAACCAAAATATCAATGTTCTGCGAATAGACTTTTAATGTCACATCATCTGAAATTAAATCTTTTACACTTCTTACAATTTCAATATCCAAATTCTAATTTTTTTACGCGACCCTGCAGGTGTGTTTTGAATAGAAAAGATTTCTTTAGTCGGCATTTCATCAAATACAATTTGCGAATTTAGTGAAAAATTTCCTTTAACATAATTAACATACTGCTTTAAAATTTTGCTCACACTGTCATTCTGGTGCCATTTAATTATATGAAGAGGAAAGTTATCGTCAATCACCGTTATTCTGATGTCATTTAATTATATGAAGAAGAAAATTACCGTCAATCACATTAAAAAGAATGCCTACTAAATGAACTTGTTCTACATGCTCAAAATTATCAGACAAATTATTGTTTTGCACTTTACGCTTTCCCGCTTCATCGAAAATAGAAAGAGGATAAGGAGCCAGTTCATAACTTCAATAATCTTTCTTTTCCACGTTTAATGAAATCTTTTGAAATAACAATAAAGGATCAACTGTTACAACTTCTTCGTTAATTTTGATCGACAATGATTTTAAGTCATTGTTTATAGTGAAAAAATCTAACGTTTTTTTAACGGTCATTTTCGGAGATAAAAATGTTTTTTTAAATTTCTGCGGCACTTGTTATCGGTAATATAGGTCATTCAGAGTAAAATGACACCTTAAAACGAATTTTTTTTAGGGTCCCGGAATCTGACATCGGGAATAAAAAAAGTTTATTAATTAACAATTGGATTGTTCAAAGCCTATCAGTTCAATCGGGCCCACGTTTTTTACACTTATTAAGGGTCCTGAAAGCAACACTTTTACCGAGTTTGAGACCGATTCATTAAAAATTAAACAAAATTATTAAACATTAAAAAATCGATTTTTTAAATCGTTTTAATTCGCTAAGTCGTATACAAATGTTTGAAAAATATCGTTCGACCAGTCATTTTATTGGTCTCTATAACTTTTACTGAAAGCTTTTTTCCATAAAAATTTACTGAGAGCAACAATCCTCAAAAATTTTGGAATTGTAATTATCATAAAAAACTTTGGACTTTAAAGAAGTATAATATTGTAGATGTGAAAAGGTTTTTTAATAAAAACTGAATTAAATAATTATTTGACTTGCCTGAAATATCGTATAGCATTTTCCATCTAAAGGCCAAAATAGAAGTTGCCAACCTCTTGGCTGTGCTGCACAAGGATTATTAGATGGATTTGCCCAAGGTGGAGGAACTATGGCCGCTTTCACACTGACCAATAATAAGATACCAAAAATTATGTCCTGAAATATCTGCATAGCCCTGAAAATAAAAGTTTATAAATTGTCTAAATATGTATTAAAAACACGTAAAATAGTTTCAAAAGAAGTTATTTACCTCTACTAATAAATTAATTCTAAACAAGTATATTTAGGTTAATTTAGTTATTTCCAGTTTATGGATTCCTGCTTACGATATTTACCTAGTTTAGTTCTCAATTTTGAATTCAAATTGACCGATCCAATATGTCGGGCAAAAAAAAATTAGTCAATTTTTAAAAATTTTCTTAATAATAGATACTCCAGTAAAACAACTAATTCAGATGAATTGAAATGAATTAACTTTTTTGGCAAGGTACAATTCGTATTGAAGTAGAATTCAGCTTTGTCGAATTCAGGAGAATTGCAACATAGCTCCAATTCGAATTTGTCGCTGAGCGGGATTCACTCAAGTCCAGGGTATATTCCACGGTGCGCCAGAAGGAGGTTTAAATAAAAATGAATTGGCACTTAAAAATTCTTTTTGATTATGGTTCTAAAATGAATAAAAAACTTTTCTCAATAGGTTTTAATATCAGCTTACGTGCCCAATTTAAAACAAATTGAGTTTTAAATATTTAAAAATAATGTTTTATGAGGAACCAGAATTTATTTAATGTATACTTATATGCGTATAGATAATAGATGTTTTAGATTTGGGTTCATATAAATTTATTAACAATGAAGTTATTTTCTTGTTTCGTTTTTATATTGATGCATTAAGAGTGTCGAATGGTATCTGAAATTCTTTGGCAAGAAGAGAGCTTTAATTATCGCTCTAAACGTGAAATAGTATTGATTTTAAAATACTTTTTTCTCGAAACATGAACACTTTTAACAAAATCAGCCAAAATCCTCATCTTATAAATTTCCTAAATCCAAAAGACTGTACGAATCCATAGAAAAACATGGTTGCAAAACAAAAAGTAGAAAAGTAATCTAATAACAGCTGCGACTTTGTGCGCCCTGCATGCTGCTGCCATCTTTTGTTACCTAGGTCACGGTGATCAAGAATCAATTACATTATATTCGTCATTATTTATAAGTTAAAAAATAGTAACTTATTTATTTTAGTATTATAATAATTTTAAAACGGTGCACAGTGGCCGATTTCCCGAAAAACCTGGCCAAAAATCGAAAAATGATACGATTTTAATCAAAATTGGTATACCCATGTTTTTTGGGTTTCTGAATTCAAATTTTACATTGGTTGTGTCAAATTCAAAATGGCGGATCCAAAATGGCCGTTTAGATTTTAAAAAACTTTGCTGAAAATCGAAAAATGATACGATTTCAATCAAAATTGGTATACCCATGTTTTTGGGCTTCTGAATTCAAATTTTACATTGGTTGTGTCAAATTCAAAATGGCGGATCCAAAATGGCCGTTTAGATTTTAAAAAACTTTGCTAAAAATTAAAAAATGGTACGATTTTAACCAAACTTAGTATACTTACGTTTACTGGGTTTCTGAAATCAAATTTTACATTTGTTTTATCAAATTCAATATGGCGGATCCAAAATATTTGCTGGTATTATAAAATTGCGTATATGTGTTAGAGTTTATTTTTTTTAAATTACAGACAGTGCTTAAATTTTAGTTTAAAGCGAATGAGAATGAAGAAAAAATCAGTCTTTCACGTTCAGTTGCACCGCCGGCCGGTGCAACGCGCTGTCGGTAAACCGCGCTGGGTGAAATAAAAAGTGATACCAAAACTGCAGGGGCAGCTTGGGGCAGCTGATTTCAATTAGAAGGAATCAAAAATATATTCTAGTTTATGATAATACCAGGTAGAGCGCGGATATCGGTGGATTTCACAACTATTTTCATGATTTACGTTGATAAAACAATACAAAAATCGTAGCCATGAATAGCGATGTTTAATGTCATTTTTTAAAAACTGTACGTTTTAAATGTGATGATAAATACATTCAACATATTTTATACACGTTTGTTAATAATTCCCAAAAAAAGATATTCAAAAATCTGCTGTATATTAGTATATTTTCACTATTTTAACTGTGACGAAAATTTATAGTTATGAATCGTTCTGAGTAAATCTCTGGCAAAGATCACTTTTACTTGTTCAGATAATAAATTGGTGATAAAAAAAGTGTAATTTTTTTTCGCAAAATTATGCAGTGAACCCTCCTTTATAATATTCAACAATAAAAAGTATAAATTTTTAAAAAAAATTTTTTGACTTTTGGCCAGGTTTTTCGGGAAATCGGCCACTGTGCGGTGTTAAGTTATATTTTTTGGGCGTTTGCAGAGATAGATTTTTAACATCAATAACTTCGTAATATTTTACAATAAAAGGTTCATTAATAGGTCAATTGAGTCGTTTTTAAATATTCTCCAAGTTGTTCATAACATTTTTAAAGAAACATAACAATTTTTTAATAAATAATACAAAAAAGGTTAGTTTTTTTAAATATTCAATTTCAAAATGTTAATAACTCTGGATAAAATAACAGTAGGACATTCACTAATAGGTCAAAAAGATGCGTCTTGAATAATTTTACAAAACTAGAGATAAATATCTATTGGTCTCAAAATATTTTTTTTAATTTATGGGCAAAAAACGATTTTTTAAAAATTTTTAAATAAAAAAATACTAGTTAATCTTTATTAATATGACTCAAAGTAGTCTAATTATTTATCCGCCAGTGAGACCTACAGTTTTAAAAAAATTATCCCTTTAGCTCTTATAGTATTCGAGATATTTAAGAAAATGTAGTACACACACACACTGAACGACATTTTTTAAAAATTTGATTTTTGGATTCCTGAGGTCGAAAAACATAAAGATACATCAAAAATTCAGGTCGAAAAATTTCGGTAGTACAATGCTTCCTCCATGAGGAAGCAATATTATCTTTTAAATTTTATGTACACTGAGAAAACAATTTAGTGTTTGCAACAAAATTGTTTGGTTAGGCAATTTTGGTTCTTTTAACCAAATTTTGGTTGGCTGAAACAAAGTCGTAGAGTTATCTCAACTAAACATTTGGTTAAGCCAACAAGATTATTTGGTTTAACATTTTTAAATTCCAACCAAAATTTAGTTACGACAACAAAATAATTTGGTTAACACAACAAAATAGTTTGGTCTAAAAAACCAAATGAACGTTTGTTGTCCTAACCAAAATTTGGTTGCGACAACCAAATAATTTGATTCGCTCTCAGCTCATAGCTTAAAAGAACAGTTAGTTTAAATCTTTTACCAGGATGGGTAGTCCAGTGGTCAGAGCTCCCGACCTTCAGTTTTAAAACAGAGGTTCGATCCCAGGCGGAGATGAGATTTTTCAAAGTCCACAAATATTTCAATTGGATAAATATAAATTCAATGTCAAATTGATAATAAATAAATAATGAAATAAATAAAAAAGATAAAAAGAAAAGAAATAAGGTAGAATATAATTTGTAATTTTACAAAAAAACTGTTTGTTTGATCAACCAAACATTTTTGTTGACCTATCAAAAAAAATTTGGTTGAACTAACCAAACAGTTTTGTTATGTCAACAAAAAACACACAACCAAATTTTTTGGTTGACTCAAACAAATAGTTTGGTTGCTTAAATACCAATAACATTTTTTTGTTGGCCCAACCAAATTTTGGTTGCTCTGACTAAACATTTTTCCCAATGTATATTGTAAAGATTAAAAATTATTCTATTTTGCAGAATTACAATATATAATTATTCTTTTTTATGAAAATTTTGCTAGACATAAAATCTGGTCAATGGAAATTGTATTATTTGAAAATTCGATGTATTATAGAAAGAAATCTTAAATCCAAAAGAAGAATAACAAAGATGAATGTTTAAAGTTATCTTTTAATCAGTATATTTTCAAAAAAATCGCCTCTTTTTGGATGAATATTCATAAATTTTGAAAACAAAATGTAAAATTAATTTTTGAATGGAATATTTTTATTTGAAGATTTTTTTTTCCGTGGGGGGAATGTGATAAATATTTGAAAAATCATTCTACTATTTTGTGGTTCAGATAATTTAAAAATTGTGAAATGTAGTGTAGAATTTAATAAACATTTGCAAAAGAAGCTTAAGTTTTATTTACACATTTTAAAAAAACTAAGAGAGGTGTTAATAAACCTGTTAATGATTCTGTAAATGTGTACTTTTCCTTTTTAATAGTGTGTGGATATTTGAAAAATAAATTTCTAGAAGTTATAAAGATATAAACATTGAATTATTTTACATATATTAATAAAATATATGATATTAAAATGAGCAACAGAATATCTAATTAGAAGAAGTAAATATTACCTTCGAAACATTTAATGAGCAATATTTCATCAATTTCTTTTTAATTAAAAGATTTATAACTCTCCACATATTCAATATAATTAAATTCAAATTTCAATTGTACAATATGAATTTGACTTCAAATATATTAATTAATAAAAACAAGAAACAATATTTAGTTGTCATTGCTTAGATATATGAAATGAATTCTATTAAAAATTAGTTTTATTATCAAAAATATTTTGAAATTTTTCATCAAAATAATATAAATTGTCCTGATTTATGTCGGAGCATTTGGATGTAATAAAAATGAGTAAATGACATTACTTTCACTATTTCACTATGGCAATGGCATTGCCCCTAATGTTGATGTGCATTCGAAATTAAGATTGACTTCATACATGAGAATACCGAAAATAAATTTTCTCTTTTTTTGTTATCATTTTGATGAAGTGAAATCTGTTAATCTCTTTCGTAAGTAGATCTTAATAAAATTATATTTTTGAATAAATAAAAATATTAACTATAATAATTATGTATGCTATCAGAATATTAAATAAGATAAAAAAAATGGTAAAAATGATTAAAAAAATCCAGATTTAAAAAATAATAATCACTTTAAAAAATGGCATTGTTTTAATTTTTTTTTTTTTGGTAAGGAAGGAAATTGACGTAAAATTGTTATTACTTGCTTTCTTTCAAGGATCGAATCTACTTCAAATTTTCGAATGG